GATTTAGTTGTTTCAGTTAGGAGATTATGAAAATGTAAGCTTCTTCTGGTTCTGACCTCAAGTTTCCATGTGTATCTACAGAAGATGGAGAATGAGCTGTAAAAAATACGCTCTAAATCAAAGAAAAAAATTACATCTATTGAAAGTCAATCAATTTGTGCTTTAAAGTGATTGCAGTAACCCATTTGGTTTTATTAAATCGTTACTAAAGATGAAACTGTAAAACTTGTTCTTGAATGGAAGTTGTTTACCAGTTGTTGTAAATTAGGCAAATTACTAACCTTTCTTGTAAAATATCAGTTAAATTATTTTATTTCATTTACTGTGTAAGTCAGTCATTCTTCACTAAAAGTATTTTTCCTGTTTTGTAGTTCATGTAGTGCATGATAGCTTGACATTTCAGAAAATTTTAGGATGTTTGCTTTCTCACTTTTAAGATACTTTTTGCACAGATGTGGCATTTCAGAAAGTGTGGCTACTTAAAAGGGTACACTTTAATAAAGGCTATTAAGGACAGATCGATCTACTTATAGCAGTTTAGTGTTTTTCATTCCATAGGAGAATAATCAATTTAGTGGAAAGCCAAAGTAGTCCATAATATAAATATTAACTGTTTATTATATATATATATGACCTTTAAAGATTCAAGGAAAGGAGGGAGAGCAAAATGGCTTAGAACTGAAGACAGTGTATTTGCTTTTATCACTGCATGTCAAAGTACTAGAATTACTGGGAAAGGAAATCCTACATACTGCTGCATCATAGCAGCAGTGTCAGCGTGCTGCAACAACCATGTAGCTGTAAGTAACATACCTCTGAAGAGATCCCATTTTAAATGACATTCAGATGTGAATTTTTAAATAGCTATGTTATTGGATATGATAGAGATATAACATCGCCTTCCACTTCAACAACATATATTTATGATGGGAAACTTTTATGTGCAGTATTACCCCAGTTAGGATACTCTCTTTGTAGCAAGGCAATAACAGGAAAAAAACCCCATGTAATTTTAAAAGATACATGTGTAGATTGAAAATACTACAGCATTTGGTCTTAATTGTAAGGGAATAATGTGCGTATGGCAAAATTGATTTATTACTTGGTGAAATTGGAGAACTGCAGATATTTATTTAGGAGGTTTTAAAAAGTCTTTGTTTGGGGGTTTTTGCAGACATTTTTATACTAGATAAAATGCACAAGGGATTTAAATGTAGTAAATTGAAAGTATCTTTTAAATTATGTGCTTAATCATGTATAGCATCTAGAGGTTTTTGTATTTTTGTTACTGTCTTCTAATCCATGTTTGCTTGCATGCTTTCAAATAAATAATTTAGGTAAATTTTGAGTTCACTGTCAGTACAATATGTAACTAATGGCAATGTAGGAACTTGCTTTGTATTGTTATTTATATCTCTGTCTTATGGGGAGACTGTACTTAAACCATGTTTTGTTCACTTCATTTGTTAAGAATGTATAGGCTCTTAGACTACATAATTCTGCCTAACACCTGGAGTTTTTGTGATATTAAGAACTTAATTAAATGTTTTTCCTTTGTAGTCTAAAATATGGCTTCTTATATGTTGACACGAGGGAAAAAAACCCATGCCAACACTTTCGTCTATGTAGTTTTCAAAGAGCATTTTTTCCCATATGGAAACCTTGTTACCTCTTTTACAAATAAATTGTGTGCATGAAAAAGGCCTTTTAAAAAACGTTTTTCTAGAAGCTACAGTTACCTTACTTCATGCTCCTGTGTAACTTACTGCCCAGTTACAAACCCTAGAAATACGAAGTAACAGAGGCAGCTCTGCTGCTTTGTTTGTATCAGTCCTTCCTCTTTGCCTTGTCATATAGCAGAAGTAGAAAAGCATTTAGATCAGGTCTTTGTCATTATGACATCATTTTGATCATTATGTGATTCATTTAGAGGAGACCTGCTGTCAAATTAATTTGGTATTAGTATAGAGCTCAGTTCTAAGTTTAGTACCAGATCTTTGACCAAGGTTGCGTCTGAGATGCAGACAGATCAATCAGAGCTAGTTTGCCGTAATACTGTTTACATCATACTCCTATGTGTCATTTGTAACCAGCATTAGCTAGAATGGTTGTTTACTGGGACAGTGAGTTTTGAATTCTTCTGCAGATTTTCATCTCCTAGATTTCCTCTGTTACTGCTGTTTGTTAACTGTCCTGCATCCCTGAGGCAGTCATCATCTTTTGGGATTTGTACACTTTTAAGGATTCACCAACAGTTGTGCAGACTCTTGTACAGAAAGTGTAAGCCTATTAGCATTAGATTTGCTTTTCTTAACTTTTTTTGTGGTGCCTTAGCAGCAATCTACAGACCTTGAAGGCATGGTGGAGATAAAGCTAAAAATACCTAGAATATACCTAGTGTAGAGAGTGTTGTATCTGGTTAATTTCATCCAGGTACGCATTAAAATACTGGAATTACTTTATTGTAGATTGAAGTAGGTATTAAAATATAATATAAAATTTATTTTATACATAATAAATATAAAATATAAAATATATACCAGAATTTATCAGCTGTTTGCTGACCTTGAACAGTCTAGTGAAATGTCTGTAATTATTTAAAGACAAGGTTTGAATGTACCTGGTGGTAGCAGCTCTGCAGTATTGCTCTGTATGATCAGTCTTGGAGTTAGTATGTTGTAACATCCAAACCAAGCCTGCCTCCTCACCCTGAGTTGTCGAGCAACAGAATCCTTTGGTATGCCTTTTCCTTTACCTCAGACTCACTGACCTTTGAGGGTGTAAGTTCTTTAGGATTTCTCCCAGGTTGTCATTGCTGTGGCAAATAGAACTGGAAAACTGGAAAATATTTATAGAACAGTTTGTGGAAGGCAGGGCATTTAAATTTTTCTATCCAGTCACAGGGCAACAGGCACAAATAGCTTTTGAAACATTATTTTTTTTTTTTTTTTTTTTTTTTCAAATACTGGAACTCTTAGACTTTCTCTTTCATGTTCTCTTTATGGACTGAACCTTAGTCTTTCTTTCCTTCTCCTTTCTCTTCATTGTGGAAGATGATTTGTAAGTTATTAGCTAGAGGACAGGTATGGGATTGAGCATCTTTAGATGAGGAGGAGAACTAGGCTTGACTCTGTTGTGTCCTGAATACATGGCTTTATTGTGGATACTGAAAAACAGTCACCACTGCAGTTATTTTTCCTTATAGATCAACAGTGATGACTGAGTTCTCTGTGGAAAATATGTGCAGTTTTGAGGCTAGCAATAGCTCCAGTGAGGTTGTGATCCAGCAAGTGCTGGCTTGGAAAGCTTTTGCTTTTGTTATTTTTTCCATTCTATCTGCAAAACACTTTTTAAGTTTGTAATGTAAATAAAATCCTGATATCATGTAATTTAAAAAAAATATTATTGAGTTACTTTGAGGAATATGGGTTAAAATACAGTTCAAACAAACAAGCAAACAAGCCAGAAAAAAACCACAATGTATTAACCCAATTGAGAATGTGTTAAATTGTGATACAGAGGTACAGTTTAATTTCCTAAGTATTTGTGTGTTGACCAGCAACCTACTCTTTCCACTTCTGATGTTGTTTTTCAGGGCTGCTGGTTGAAGAGTTGCTTTCACTGAATACTTCTTGCTCATTCCCTTGAGAATGCCACCCAGCTGACCAACACTATATTGTCCATGGTTCCGTGGTTCCATCTTTGTATGAACCCCTGATTCATTTTCTAAAATAGCCACAAAGAATACTTGTTCCAGCCTGTTAGAGGGCTGGTGGTGGAGCAGAACAAGTGACTTGTGGGCTACGGGAAGCAGGGAAGAAGTTGACACATAAATTAATGGCTAACCACAGCTTCAGCGAGAACATTTAATATTAAGTCCCCCGAGGGAAATCAGTAGGCAGGTATCTAATTTCTGATCCATTATTAGATTTAGCTATGAATTAATTACCAAACTGCTTGGCTTTTTTAGCTACTGGGTACATGCAAAAAGAACCCCCAAAACTAAAACATATAACAGAACCCAAGACCAAATCACAAAGTTTCCCTTTACAGAAAATCTTCTGTTGGAAATTTAAACTGGTTTTGAGGAGCTCTGTCTTTAAATGAGTATCCTACACCGAGGAGTGAGGTAAGTTTTGTGGTGGATTTAGCCCCAAGCATGATGCTCTGTTCATGACATCTTTGTGGAAGCAGGGCTCAGGATGCAGATCTTGTGAAATCATGTCCTTCCAAATGTTATGGTAGATTCAGAGTATTTTATAAGTTGCCTGCATTGTTGAAAACTAAGTAGTAGTCAGTTAAAGAACTGTGAGCAAGAAGACATGCTTTCCACAGTGTACATAATCAGGATGAATTTCCTTTATCTCCTAGGTCCATGCATTCCTTTTACATTTTCTTTATTCCTGTTTTTTCCCCATCTTCTGTATGTGTGTATACAGATGAGAATAATTTTTCTCCCCATCCAGCCTTGCTTTTCACTTCTGTTGATTTCTGATGTGCTAGATCTCATATCAGACACAAGGACTACAATAAGAGGGGTGGTGTATCAATATGTTTCTTTGTGTTTTTTTCCCCTGCATACCCATATGTTTTACCAGCTGAGTTTTGTTCAAGCCATCTTAGACTAAGTGTGAAAAATAAATGGCAGGGAGGGGTTTGGTTCCTTATTGCCATCCTTCCATTAGTTTTTCACTTTGCAGGGTCTTAGTGGATGTTCTTCCTTCCATCTGACAGCACTACAGATAGAATTACTAGGCCAATCTCTGTGTGTCTCTTAGTTGAAGAGTACAACATGAAATGATCATACTTTTTTCACAAGGGTCTAGATTAGGTTTGGAGGGAGAAAGAAAATACGAAGAAAAATAAATTAGCAAGGGAATAGATATTAAAAAAAATCATGCATATCAACTTTAAAATCATGTGTGATTTTTATTTTATCCTTTGTAGATAAAATTTCACCTGAATATTGTGTGAACTAAGATTTCTGTTATTGTCTTCAGCAGAATCTCCAACAGCAGTCACACCTTATCCTCTTGTCAAATAATGGAGCCCTGTACCTCAGATGAATTTTTTCAGGCTCTCAACCATGCTGAACAAACTTTTAAAAAGATGGAGAACTATCTTAGACATAATCAACTGTGTGATGTGGTGTTAGTTGCTGGTGATCGTAGAATTCCAGCTCACAGGTAAGTTTATTATAATTTGAAATAACTTCATAATTATTTACAAATGCACTTTCAAAGTGTGTCCCATCTTTTGTTAAAAAAATGTCAGAACATCCTAAACAATTTAGAATACTTTAAACATGTATACGTTTTTTTAACATCTATTTGGAAACAAAAGTTAATTTGTCTATTGTATGCAATACAGAATAAAAAAAAAAATCATGTTATTTTTGTTTCCAAGTATACTTATGGTATTTGCATAACAAAATTAAACCCCCAGGAGTCCCCAGTATACTCCCAGAATATTATAAGTTGTAGTGGTTTCTTTACCATAGAATGATGTAACATTTTTTTCTTAGATTTAGTTTTTTCTGTGTACTAGCAATTATGTTATTGGAGTCACAATTAACAATACGGATGGTCTTTTTGCTCCCATAGTAAGAGTCTTTGATAGGAGACTTCTGAACACTTCCAGTATTAGATGTCTAAATTAGTTCAAACATTACTCTCTCTGTCATCTGGGTAATCAACAGATCATATGTATGACACTTAAAAGCTAGGAAAATACCAAAGATTGCAAAACACAGGCATGTGTAACTGAAGCACATTATAGTATTTAATGCACAGAATTTGTAGTTTGAATAGGAATCAGTATAATTAAGCTGCGGTTTCCGAAGTTGAGGTCTACAACAGAAATGGCAACTAAAGCATTCTTTTTTTCCATTGCTCATTTGACTCCCACAGTGAAACTACATCTCACAGCTGTAATAGTAATAAAAATATGGGAAGAGGTTGCTGGTTTGGAGTTGGTACTTTCCTTAGAAAGCCAGATTTATGCTTTTATTCAGATATTATCCACACTGTTGTACTGACTCAGCTGAGGGAATGACAGCATGGGGATGGGAACTGACTTCAGAATCAGGGAGGCTTTTAAACCATAGCTCAGAGACTTCATTTTATGAAATGTTCAAATTAGTTACTTAACTGTGGTGTTCCTGTGAAAAGAATGAATCAGATGAAAACATGGAATACACACACCCCTAGTGGGCACATGCTCAAATAATTTAAGATCAAAAAAACTTTGGAGTGGTGTAAACAGGAAAAAATAGCAATTATTATAAGGAAATAATTTTACTTCCTTATGGAGCCAAGGTAACCCCTTTGCAATAAGTGTTTGGACTGTGGCTTATGTAATAGTTAAAAATGTGTAGAAAGGATGCAGAGGACAGCTGTGAATATCTTGTAAAGACTGGAAGATTCTATTTGCAATGAAATAAATGGATAGGCAACACACTAAAAAGTCCTTTAATGTGGTTCACACTTTTTTCTCATTTATTTAAAAAACTGACTTTGCTTCTCCAGTTTCTGCTACTGTATCTATTTCTGTAGTACATGAGGCATATGCTACTATCTGTTATTTGCTCTGGACTTCTCTTTGAGGAGAAACATCTTGCTGTAGCTGGTATATTGTGTGTTAAATACGCATAAAAGTTAAAGCCAAAGAAGCAGAGTTTGTGCTTGTAGCAGGAGGTGGGAGGCTTACAATTGTCCGTTGTTCACTTTATAATGTAGGAGCAACTTACAAAGAAGCTTTGCCTTTTGCATAATAAGTTCTTTCTCTGTTTTGTTTTCACAGAGAAACATAGCAATAACTACAATCTTAATCTCAGTAGATCCAAAGTATCTCATTGAAAACTGAATTTTTTTCATAGTGGGATAAATATGAAAATACTAAATTCCATTTAAATTTTATATAAAATTCAAGAATTAATTTATATGATTGTATTTTTATATTTATTATAGAAATTATACAATTTTGTATAATTTATATAATTTCTTATAATTGACTGCCTTTATCTACTTGTAGCAGCCAATGTTATAAGAAAAAACTTCTGTAGTATTTTTGCTGCCTCCATACAATTTCTGACTTCTTTAGTATTGACTGCAGGCTGGATCAGTCAGGGCATTTCAGAACACCAGTGATTATTTTGTCTTGAGACTTAGTAAGCAACAGAATATGTATTAAATAGATCTTAGCTTAATGGCTTGGCATTCCAAGATGAGTAAGAAAATAGATGGTCCGCTTGCACTGGACAGCTTTGTTTTCCTTTGTTTTTTCATAAGAAAGATGAGTTTTTCATATTATGTGGTCACATAGAGTTGTTAAGAAAGAACATTTTTCGCTATTAATATTAATCACACTCATATATAGGGAGGAATATTCAGATTTCCTGTTTTGAAGCTGGTATTTGTAATCATTCCTGTATTTTATAAATTATCAGTTTCTATTATTGAGTGTTGTGAGGTGTATGATGTATGCTTTTAGAGAAAAGAGACGTGAGTTTGGTATCTGCCTTGGTAATAAGCACAGGTAATACATTGCTGTGAAATTCTGAGAGGTTTTGTATCAATTTAAAGAATTCAGGGTATGAGTGTACTACAAATAAAGCATGGCATATAGTCAGGATTTTTCAGAATATGGCATTCTCTATTGTTCCATAAGTGTTTATCTTCTTTTTCTGTGCTGAAATTATAGCTAAAAACTTACTTCCAAGGTCAAGAAGCAAGTAGGAAAAGGGGACCGTTCTCCCCTAGGAAGAAATGTATTGTATTCCCACCCCTTCAGCTTGCAGTTCCATAAAGAAATTTTGGATACTTTGATTTAATTAGTTTAATTAAGTTTTTCATAGCAGGTGTTTATTTTGTGTGCACTGCAATTTCAGATGATTTATTGTTTGTATTTATTACGTTCAGCTAACTGCTCTATCCATAATAAAAGCTTGTTTTCTTTGGTAATAACCCACTGGTTAGAACATCCATGTAAGAAAAGGGAAATATGTGTAAATTCCTGCCCAGAGGGCATTTAAAGTCTGCTCCACATCCTTTAATCAGCAGTCTGGGGTGAGCCATTGTCTGTCTTTCTGTTGACACTGAAGGATGGAAACACAAAAGACACGGGACTTAAGAGAAGAGGGCAAAGGGAACTTTTTGTACTCTACAGTTTAGGAAGATTGTTTGAAAGAGCATGATCTCCTCAGCATCACCTTACGACTTCAGTGAATGCTGATAGTGAGTTTCCAAGGACAAGTTTTCAACTGTTACACAGCCACAGGCAAGGAGCTGCCTAGGAAGAGTCCCTTTTATCTTTCAGATCTTAAGCAGCTTCACTTCATTCTGTCAGGTGAGACAGGTTTGGAGATACTAAACATGTAAATTGCCAGGTTTGGCACCTGTCATCATTTTGCATAGTAATTGCTTTGGTGACCTAGAAAACTATCTAGATGATGCAGCTTGTGGCAGTTCCAACAAGTATGGGTTTTAAAGTGTACCACATATTTTACTTGCTGTCAGTGGAAAACTCTTCAAAATAAGTTAAGCCATCATGATAGATCTTTTTAATTTTGGATCAATACAAACCAATGAAATTAAAGACAACAGTAGCTTTGGAGCCTCCTGTAGTACTAAAACATCCAGATTTTGTCAGTATTTAGTGACAAGTGAATATCAAATCACATGTGAGTAATTGATTTTTATTGACTAGTGGGAAAAAGATAGGACAAGAAAAGGCCAGTTGGCTGAAAGTCTGCCTTTATTTTCTTTTATCCTAGCTCAGTGTCACCTTGATGCATTGTCACTGTATATTTTAATCCCATTTCTTTCTTTGAAAGAACTTTTTTTTTCTAAAGCAGTTGAATTAAGGGGAAAGTGTGGATACCTCTTCTAAGGTTTTCACTGTGAAATTATTAAAAAATTGCTCTCAGTATAATTTGTGCTTTTTCAAATTACCTGTATTAAACTACTTCTGGACTTCACATCCTCTGTCAGCATATGCAAGTCACTCTCTGGAAAGCACTTACCACTGTGAGGCATTTGTACCTCCTCATGGATCTGAACACATTTGCAAAAATAGTAAATGGATTACATTTTAGTTAATTTCCATTGGAGGACTCTCTAGTCTAGAAATTACAGGGAGAAATTTGCTGATATCAAAACTCTGATAGAAGGCATTGGGACCCTTCTGTTATTATTTGGCATTTCTTCAGCAATTGCTGCTAAAATGTGTACAGTCCAGTGTTCTAAATAATAGTGCAGCTACCTAGTCCAGTTGCACTGCTAGGGAAAGAAAAAAAGGAAAACAACCCCCAAACTGTGATATGACTAAGTATTAAGTTCTGTTTCCCATTGGAGAAGAACTGTCTTTTTCAAGCTCTGTTCAGTGTAGTTCCAAGTCAGAACTGCTAGATGTGAGTATATTAAGTTGGTTGTTTTGCTTTTTTAAATTTTGAATTGGACCTGCAGAGATACTTGGGTTATTCAAACCACTTTTCCTTCTAGTGAGAACCCCTATTTTGTACATAGAAATCTGACCTTGTCATCTCATTCTAGCATCAAAAGCAGTTGCAGAAATTCTCCCTTGAGATACTTACATGAATGTACTCTCTAATTTACTCCACTTCTATAGATCTCTGGGAGGCAGCATTTTCATTTGAATGCAGATTTCATTAAATCTGAGGTTAAAATGCCTAAAAGTGATGCCCGGGCCTTACTTTAGCAGAAAGTTCTAATTTTTCTTAGCTAGTCAGCCACAGAATAAATCTCATATTTCAATTACAGAATTTCATTTTTCTTTGAAAGAACAGAACTGTGTTTCTTTTAACAAAACTTCAATCATACAAGGTGTTAAAATAAAATTAATCTTTTTCCCATGCACTTATAACTCTACTCCGTTGCCTCAGCAGTTAGAAAAAAAGGATTATCTTTTTTTTTTTTTGTAAGCCTGACCAAATGGTCAATGATCAGACAATTCACAAGGAAAATGTATTATGAAATTAATTAGTCAAAATTTTATTACTTTGCAGTTAATTAACTAAGAGACAGCTCCTTGTATTTCATTACTTTTTATATGTACCTGTAAATCCTCCCCTAAGCACTGGTGCTCACCTTTTCAATTAGTTTTGCTCTGTTTTGTGGTTCCTGACCTCTGTCATTTTAACACGCCAGTGTAATAATTCAGCACAGCATAAACCGCCAGAAGTTTTAAATTAATTGAATGTATGCATACGGACTATTTAATGTATTTGCAGTAGGCTGGGTTCTCGGGCTTGCTGTTTGTATTTATAAGTGTATTTATATTGAATTCCCTGTGGGCAAGGTAACAGTGAACTACTACAGCACAAAAATGCATCCAAGCCACAAGGCCATTCCTGGACGTCTCTTTCTCCTCCTGAATAGTTATGGTAGGTTTCATATTCCTGCCTGATACAATTTTCTCTTTTACCCCAGTCTCTGAACACATACTGAGGCATCGAAATTCTTGCACATTTTGCAGAGTGACATTATTATTTGTTGTGAGTGTTTTGCTCTCAATAATCCAAAGAAATGTCTGTTGTGCACGAACATATTTACCTACACATGTAACATACATATGTAAAATAGTCAGAATTGTTAAAAAAGGCTAAAGACATATTCACAAGAGAGATTATTCTGTATCATCTCCACATTGACTGTGACAAGTTTTGTTAGCAGTATTAGGAATTGAATGTATATGTGCAGACCAAGAGCAAAAGCTTTTTAAAGCCCTTTGAAAAGGACTGGTAAGTCATTATTTCCCAATTAAAAAAGTATCTAACATACTGTAAATTAAAATAAATTCAATTTTATTTTTATTTTTATTTAAGTAACGTATATTTATATTCCATTTCTGATTTATGTGGATTTGGGAGCATTTATGTCTGTGTTGGCTATTGAAAGTCATTGAGCTTTGAAAGGGTAATTAGTTTAGATCAGTTGCAAATGTAGGTTCAGTATCAGTACTTCATTATTCATAGAGAGAAACTAGAGCATGGAGCACTTTGTAAATTTTTAAGTCTTTTTCTCACTACAGTGTTTCTTCAAAGGGCAAAGTAATGAATCATAAGTTAACAAACATCAGGTTGACTAAGTTTTTTTTCTTTTCTCTGTTTCTCTCTTTTCTCTTGCATGTCATACTCAGATTGGTTCTCTCCTCTGTTTCGGACTACTTTGCAGCAATGTTCACTAATGATGTAAGGGAAGCAAGACAGGAAGAAATCAAGATGGAGGGAGTGGAGCCAAAGGCACTGTGGGCCCTGGTTCAATATGCATATACAGGTAATTGAAGTGAAAATGGAAATTTCATCTAATGAATTGTTCTCATGTGAACATTGTATTCCATTACTAGATTTCAAATGCTCTTTACAAATTATTCACATTACTTAAATTCTTATAAATAAATAAAAATAAATAATATAATATCCTGAGTTGGTAGCAACCTACAAGGATTCTCAAAGTCTGACTCCTGACCCTGCTCAGAACACCCCGACAATCACACCATGTCTCCCAAAAGTTTTACAAGCACTTCTTGAACTCTGTCAGGCTTCGTGTTGTGACCACTTCCCTGTGGAGCCTGTTCCAGTGCCCAGCCACCCTTGGGGGAAGAACCTTTTCCTAATGTCCAACCTAATTCCCTGACACAGCTTCAGGCCATTCTGTTGGGTCCTGTCACCAGTCAGCAGACAGAAGAGATCGGGGCCTGCCCCTCCCCTTCCCTGGTGAGAAAGCTGTAGACAGCAATTAGGTCTCATTGCTGTTACCTGAGACAGCTTGATAGGATAAAGTTTCTCTGATAATACTATATTCAGTTAATTAACAAATTATGTGAATCTATTAAATATATCATGACTGACAAAAAAAGGAATCTCATTAGGATTTCCTTTCCTTACATCATTATAGATACTAATTTTGAAAACTATTAGTTATCTAATGCTGAGGGTGATGTTTACTAAGCCTTATATTCTGTCATATAATCTGTAAATAATTCTGTTGCCTTGGGGTTTTAGGGAATTTGTAAGATTATAAGAGCAAATTAATGTGATTTTTCTTTTTGATGTTACTAGGTCGCCTTGAATTAAAAGAAGATAACATTGAGTGCCTGTTGTCTACAGCTTGCCTTCTTCAGCTCTCTCAGGTTGTAGAAGCATGCTGTAAATTCCTAATGAAGCAGCTTCATCCATCCAATTGCCTTGGAATCCGATCTTTTGCTGATGCGCAGGGTTGCACTGACTTGCACAAGGTGGCTCACAATTACACTATGGTATGTTGTTACATTTAGTACAATCTGTTTTATTTAGTAAGGAATATAAAGACTTTTCCTAAATATAGTACTGATGTTTTTCTCCCAGAAAGCATTCATCGTTTTCAAACACAGAATGCTCATATGTTCCCATGATGAAAAATGCCAAAATAACTTCAAAGTTGCTGGTTTAGAGTTGGAAGGAAATACGCAAGAATTAATGGATCTCTGTAACAGAAATGGGATTGATGCATTTAATAAAATATTTCAAAACCTCGTTCTTCTTTCTGACCGTCAAAAACTAGAGACTTCACAATGGGCAAGTTGCCATCACCTATTCCAAAATTACACGTTACTAAATGGAAGTGTATGAACTGGAGTATACTTGAGGTGGGCATTCAGCAATATAGATTCTGCCTTATTCTTAATAAATTAGCAATGGGATGTCAGGCATCAAAGAATTTTAATCTTAGGCTAGATAATAAATTTGTAATTTATTACAAATTGTAATTATTTGTAATAAATACAAATTTGTCAATTATATTTTTGTGCTAACTTATGGAAATTCAGACCTACCAACTTAACTTCATCTGCTTAACAGTCATCCTTTTATTTTAATACAAAATGTTCTTTTTTTTCCTTCTCACAAGTGTATTTTAGTAAAGTTATCAGAAGAAGGCAGGAGAACTATCTCTGAAGCAACTCAGTTCACCTGCTCTTTGCAGTTTTGTGAGGCATTTTGCTCACTTGTTGATGAAATTTTGCCTAAGTAAGCTCTTGGGATCTGAATGAGGGCATGTAGGTAACTGCATAAGAGATGTGGGAATGAAGATAGTACTTAATTTGCTTGTGTGTCATGGCATTACCTTGCCATTAAGAGATTGGCTTAGATCCAAGAGTTGTAATTTATGTCTTGTAATTAGTATTAGAAATCCATGGCTCTTCCTCTTGCTGCCTTAGGTTTTGCTGGTTTAAAACCATTAAAAAAAAAAATCAGTTCTTCCCGGCTTAAGTTAATTTAGTTTAGTAGGAATAGCAGTTTAAGATATTTTTTTTCCTTCATATTCAAGACAGGGTTCTTCTGCAGTGAATGGATCTCTCACATATTTAGTATCATGGCCACACAAATTTACTGAGGCAGATTTTAACTTACATGTTTCTATTCTTGGTCTTCATTATTGCACAAACAAAAATAAGGAGACTGCAGTTAAGTAGAATGTGCAATAAAACAGTAAAGTAAATGTGGCTTATGCCTTTGAGGAGTATTAGATTTTATGCTGAGTGAGACCAGTGATAGAAAAAGGTATGTGAAAAGAGAAACTCCCTCCTCTGACCTACTTGTTCTTTTTCAGAATTAGCATGTATTTTGGTCTAGGCTATTGTCATGTCCTTTATAAGTGAATTGCCAAGATCAGAATAGTAAGAATTATTAGACTAATACATGCTTGAAGGGGAATGTTGGCATTCCAGTCTTAGTATTCTGACTGGCAATTCATGACTTAGGGCAAATAGGGGCTGTGAACTTTCTAAAAGCCATTCTTTTGCAGCACCTATCTTTCTTTTGTTCAGACAAGAGGAAAATAGTTCTGTACATTTTGGCTATTGTTAACTTCAGTAAACAAAAAACTAAAGCAAAATTGTTGCTTTTAAGGATGTAATGTGAATGAAATTCAAATTAGGTGGATTTTAAAAAGCCATTTTCGAAACTAATTAGTTGTGCCAGATGGATTTCTCCCAAGGCCTCTTTTAATGTTGTTTAGTTCCAAGAGAGACATTAAATTGAATTTTAGTAATAATGAGTAATAGAGAAGCAGCTTCTTTATTTTGAAATGAATGTTGCTATGGAAACTGCATAGAAATGTATAGCCCAATTGAATCTTCAATTAAAATAAATCCCCAAGTAATTTCATTTGTTTTAAAGGCGTTTGAAAAAAGAAAATGTTCAACACTAGTAAGTGCTAGGTACTTGATGCTCTTTCCATTAAGAAGTTTTAGAGTGTAAGGGTTAAGTACACCTGTAGTAGCTGGCAAAATTCTCTTTGTTAAAACAGGGAATTATTTTTATGCTGCATTGGGCTGCATAGAACAGTAGGGGATTATACTGAGTACAGGTTATAGTTCTGGTTCTTTTAAAATAATTTTAGTAGAAGGCAGTGAATAGTGTAAAATACTTAACTTTTAATTTATACATTATTTTCTATGAGTTTTTGTTTGACAGAAAAGAAAACCCGTGATTGCCATTAATATTTTTACAAGTAAAACAACTTCTCCATTTTAAAGGTTTTTGTGACACATATAATAAGTTTGTAGTCATCTTACCTGCTTCATTAAAATACCTTTTTACATGAAGATCTGAAATTCAGGTGAAATGAGCATTTGTTTAAATTGGAGGATGAATCAGTGAGTTGTCCCATTAGGTCTGCTTCTGTTTTCTGTCTGAGTAAAGTACATTAGTCATTAGAAAGCATCAGCGATTAAAAAAAAAAAAAAAGATAAGAAGGATTTGAATGCTGCATTTCTTCATATTACAGATATAATTATGCTGAAAGGACTGAAGTGTTGCATTACTTTATTGCTTATTGTGTTGACAGTTGATAAGTAGTTTTGACAGAGGGGAACAGATTATCAAAATTGGTCAGTTATTGGCATTACAAATTCAGGCTTAAAAAATCCTCACTATAAATGAAGTGAAACATAAAATGAACTGAAGTGATTAGTAGTGGATTTAATGCTGCATAAAGAGCAACTCTGATTTTTACACATCACAGTTCTAAAATAGAGTTGATACAATCATGAAAAGTATCTGAGTAAAGGTATCTTTTGAACAAAGGTTATCCTGTTTTGCTGTGGTTTATATATAGTATTTGGGGAATACAGTTATAAATTTAGGAATTTTATTAGACTGGCCAGTATTGTATCTGTTTGTTTTAATGAAATTGTAAAGGCATTTTTGCACAAAATGCCTTCTGTGCATTTTTATTGCCATTTTCAAAGTCATAACAAACACCCCTTTTTGACATCTTGTTTGTTTGAAACAGTTGATAGTGTACCTTGAATGAAAAACAATAGTTCCTTTTCCATAAAAAAGTAAACCCAAAAAAAAGGGGAGTTAATACTTTGAGATGAGGAAAAGCTAGCTTGAGTTATTTCCAGAACTTGAAATATCTGTGGTGACTAGTGAGGTGTTCTTAGGTAGGTGTCAGTAGCTTCTTTAGTAGCCAGATTTTAACTTTCTGATTTACAACTAAAAAAGAAAGAACAGACATTTGAAACTTTGTGTGATAGTGCCTGAATTGGTCTATGTGTAATCATTGTTACTCAGCTATGCATGCTTAAAGCAGAGTGAAAAGTCATTTTGGTTTTCATTAGAAGTGTTCAGAAAATACATGAGCAGTGAGTGATAGTATTACAAGATTCAGATAAAGTTAGTTTTGGAATTTGTGTGACTTCTGAGCAAGCCAATGGATGTACAAAAAGAAAAGAGAACAATAGATTGGGTCTAAGCATAGAAAGTAGGTAGTTTTGCAGAAGAAAATGTGTGGCACACTTAGGCTTGCTTTCTCCTGTAAGGCAGTAGTTGGAGAACAAAAAATCATGGAGTTATGATTTAAAATTAAAGAGGGATAATTTGTCATTTTTTTTGTCTTTTTTTTTTTTTTTTTGCAACAGCCAGGACAGTTTTTTCTTTTGTTAGTGGGGAGCATGAAGAGAGGAGAAATTTAAATGCTTTTTGTCCATAAAGGGCCAGAACCAAAGATTGTGATAGTGCCTAAAACAAGGATTTTACATTCTTGCACCTGAAATTGCAGTCCAGAATATCTTGCTCAGTAATTGACTGACTTGCGAAATACTCATTCACTTACTTTTTACCTGTGAAATCCCAAGATAACTTTGTCTTTCAAGTTCCCTCCATCCTGCCTAGCACAATAGATCAGTACTTGTCAAGACTGAATAGGTTTCTGCATGCTGCTCAGTCTGTTTTGGAATCCAGAAATAGTGCAGCGAGGAGTCAAGCTACAATAGCTGTACTCTAAGCAAACCCTGCACACAGTGCAAGTATTAGGTTGGTTGATTGTTTAACACATCAGTCAAATCTGAGTAAAAGTAAAGTAGGTGGTATCTGACAGCTGTTTGACTATTAATAGTTTCCCAGGAAGTCAGCTCAGTTTGTAGTGAATTCATACTTAGTTGACCAGTGGACTGAAGCAGTCAGCAGACAAAAATTACATTTCCTGTTTGTTTTCATTCAGATCCTGTGAGTCAAACAAATCTTGCTTTTTGGTTGCCCAAGTTCAGAGCTTAAGCAGAGCCCTGTGATTAGAGCTTCCTGTTGGGCAGCCTCAGTCCCTCTCAACTTGCAGGTGTCTGATGCTCTCCAAAGTTTTGTTCCTTCTGACACAGTGTGCAGGGAGACTAACCATCTCACTGCATCCCACTGTAGGGATTAAGTATCATTTAGAAATACACATCATGACATCTTATTTTGTATGTGCTCCTAATATTTTTTTGCTCTGTACCAAGTCCAAGGTAGATCTGTGGTTAAGAGTATCCGTATTACTCACTCTGCAGTTGCTGAAGAATGAATTTGAGGTTATTATGTGAATGAGCAGTACCCAGCATTGAGCATGAGGACTGCATGTCCCTGTCTTGGTTAACACATAAGCCTCAGGCTACTCATTTGATAAAGTTTCCCAGCTCTCGAGGAGCTAATTTTGGGGTTGGGAAATTCTGTTTACTTTCAGGACCAGAAAGCAAGGGATTGAAACTGCAGACCTTTTGTTCTCTGAAATATCCTATTCTTCCACAGAGAGTTCCCATAAGAAGAAGGAAAGAAAAGGCTAATGAGGAGGTTAAGAATGCTAGGAGATACACTGGCTCCTTCTTTTTGTCTTCAGAATCTCTGTCTGTAAAGGAAGAGGAAGTTTCAGATTCTGATTATAAAAAACCCCAGACATAGGACAAAGAGTGCCTGTATTCCCAGTGGAATGCTTTGATACTCTGCTTAAAAGGAGTCTCTGCTTTAAAAATAGAATGGGAGCAAGAGGAAATTGAACTTGTTCCCATCAAAAAGCAATGGTCTGCAAGCAACAAGAAGGAAAATCAGGCTTTTTTGCACATAACAGCTGTTGAAGTGATGAAATCCAGTTGGAAAAAGCTTTCCAAAGAGGATCCCTGATTGACTTATGCAAGATCAGCTTGTTGTTGGCTCCAGAGATGAAAGAACTTTTCATGCAAGTGTTTTCCCGTTCCTCTTCCTGTGATCTGGATAGACAATTTGGCAAGTTTAAGGTAGTAAGTGTTGGTGTTTCTCTTTGTCAGAGCTCGCTGCCTGTTCATTCAGCAAAACCAAACTCAGCTCAGCTCCAGCTTGCATACTCTCTAGGAAAAAGAACCAACAAAAAACAGCCAGTGGAAAACATGAACTCAATGGAATATGAATTTCTGTGAACTGCATGTTTAAACTGTGGAAATAATTTTCATCACTTCTCAGATTCAATTTTACTGCCAGGCATTTAATATCAGAGTGAAATAAATAGCAATGCATGTGTAGTGCTTCTGAATATTGGTACAGTGCTTTCACTGTTTTTAATGCATATATTCATTCATTTTAACTTCTATTTTGTAATACAAATAGTTAAATGAATTAAAGAAGAAAAGACAACTCTATCTCCTCTATAATCTACTATAGCTTTCACTTGGAAGTACTTTTTTTGTGTAGACAATTGGATCTTTGTTGTAGGGAAGCTTTTCGGACATTAAATATTTTCAGATATTAAATGTAGTTTTCTTTACAAATTCTATTCACAAGCAGATTATGTACATTGATAACATTTTCAGTTATTTTCCTGATTTTCAGAATTACCAATGGAGTGGCGTAGCTTTGATCTTTCCCCTTAGATATCTTGTGAGCATCTTATATACATCTGGCTTTCATGTAAGGTGGACAGTTTACACCTAATTAGTTTTTTCCTCTTAGCTCAGCTTTCTTTTTTTATTAGTCAGTATCTTTGGAGTACTGAGGTATAGCTTTGAAAGCATTAGACTAAGCAATAAAAAAAAGTATTAACTATTTTGCTTTGTTGTCATGATGCTCATTGCATATATAATGCCAAGCTACTGTAGTTTTTGTTGCCATTTGAAATACTACATTCAGACCTGTTTTGCAGTGCACCTCCTGCTTCCTCTTGTGAGTTTCTCCCCTTTTTTAATCTAAAAATCCTTTTTTTTTCCAACATGTGCTTCTAATCTACATGCTTTTTTATTAGCATGCAATTCTTTCTTTTTAAAACATTAAGCAAGACAGTAAGTAAGGGTAATTTTCATATTAGGCTCAGTTAGACTTCCATGTTTGTGGATCTAACACATTTTGTTCGCCAGGTGTTTTAGATGTACATGGGATGGCAGACCAAAAACCACATGCTATTAACTATCTAGAAATCCACACTGCATTTAATCAATTCATTGTAACATTGTTATCATCATGAAGTTATTTTGAGTGTGAATTTAGCTGGCGTTTGAGCTACAGAAATACAAGAATATGTTGTGATTTTACTTTTCTGCTTTTGCGTTGCTTTGCTTTGCTGCCTTGTAAAGGTATATGGGGAGAGAGGATAGACACAACATCACTCTTTCCTGTTACATTCAGGTTTTTCACTGTAAGTTCATGGTGTTGATTGTGTTTCTACATACTTCTGCTATTTCAGCCCAAACTGATCAGAATCCTTACAGAATATGCTGCAAGTCCTCACATTATGAAGTAATTTGATATCAGCATAGGACGTGTTACATATTATGAATTTCTTATTTTGAAGTAAAGATTTGTTGCTGAAAATGACAGGATGAAAGTTAGAAGGTTGAATTCTATCAAAATAAATATTGTTAGCATAGCAAGGTATGTGTAATATTGCAGATTCTTTATATGTTTTGCTCCCCAGTCAAATCAGATCAATTGTATAAAACCTACAAATAACAAAATAAACTTAAAATAATCCATTTTAAATCAACAATAAAATCGTTAGTGTTGTTTATTTCCTCTGAAAACTTACTACCACATTTTCATCTACCAGTAATGAAAACAGTTACATGTGCCCAGTTGTTGTACAGTGTTGTGCTCTTTGCTTGACAACAGGAACAAACTGCATCTTTTTAACCATACTTCAGAAAGTATTTCTTCACTTTGTGGTGCCAGGATAGTAACACCCACAACCTATGGCTCATTTCTGTCTGTACACTTCCCTCAGTTGTTTCAGCATGTCTGTGAGACTGAATGGTTGAGTTGGGGAAATGATCAGGGGTAAAAATAATTCAGTACTTCAAATTTTTTTTGGATCTTCCTCCTGAGTTAGTACTCCAGTGGGACAACTGAGAGATGGCATGGAGGGAGGGAAAAGAGGGGAGAATACAGCAGGTGTTCCATAAAATGTCTTCAAAGTATGATGTTGCCTCTGTTAAAATACTTTTCTTTTTCAGGAAAACTTCATGGAAGTAATTAGAAATCAGGAATTTCTGTTATTGCCAGCCACTGAAATTGCTAAGCTTTTAGCAAGTGATGACATGAATATTCCTAATGAAGAAACTATACTGAATGCACTACTTACATGGGTTCGACATGATTTGGAACAGAGAAGGAAAGATCTCAGTAAACTCCTGGCTTACATTAGACTGCCTCTGCTTGCTCCACAAGTAAATTATTCAGTTCCTCTCTAGTTTTTACCATGGTTACAGTGGGCATAATGTCTACAGCATAAATATATTGATAGTGATAAATCATAAAATTTATAGTGGTCTGGATTCTTAGAGCCACATGTAAGAGCTTAGCATGTTGTATAGGCATGATAGTTTGTGTCTCTTTGTGAACTGCAGCATATTCTGATCCTTTGCTTCTAGAAGAAGGTTTTTTTTTCTTGCCTGTGAAAATGCTTATCAAAGATATCTTAGTCACTAGATGCTGTGTCCTTTTTAAATTCCTTCTGTATTGAACTTGCACAGTTTATTTGGCTCATTATATTTCCTTCATGTAGAAATAGCTAGGAAATGCAATTTGAATTAATTGTTTGGAGTGATTTTTCTATTAACTCCTGATAGGTCATCATTACATACTTCTTGTTCTTCCCAGTCAATATTTTTTCTCCTTCTTGGACATTAACAGAAAATGTGGAGGAAACTTTGGGCTCAGTTTGTTTAAATAGTTGTGAATTACAGTTTTCCTGTCCCATAGGAATGACTACTCCTGTTAGTCTCATACTGACTCCCTCAAAGGCAGGGAGGCCCTGCAGAGAGACCTCGACAGATTAGAGGAATGGGCAATCACCAAATGTACAAAGTTTAGGAAGGAAAAGTGCCAAACTCTGCAAATGGCATGGGGCAGCCCTTGATGTACAAACAGACGGGTGAATGATATGCTGGAAAGCAGTGCTATGGAAAGGGACCTGGGGTTCTGGTCCATGACAAGCTGAACATGAGTCAGCAGTGCCCTGGCAGCCAGGAGGGCAAAGTGTGTCCCCGGGGGGGCATCAGGCCCAGCATGGCCAGCCAGGCAAGGGAATGGCTTGAAGTTGTATCAGTGCAAATTTAGATTGGATATTATGGAAAGATTCTTCATCCAGAGAGTGGCTGGGCACTGGAACAGGCTCCCCAGGAAAGGTCACAGCACCCAGCCTGACAGAGTTCAAGAAGTGTTTGGACGATGCTCTCAGGCACATGATGTGACCCTCAGGGATGTCGTGTCGAGTGCTGGGAGTTGATGATTGTTGTAGGTCCCTTCCAACTCTGCTTATTTTGTGTTTCTGTGATTCACTACCTGATAGCAACTTTGTAAACTAGGTTTGAATATTTTTATTTGTTTTTCCCTTTCTTCTCTTTCCTTGCTGGACCTTCTTTAGTAATATTTAATATTTACTATAGAGTCAAAGTATTTTGCTTTATGATTTTCAGTTTGTTTAGTGAAAATTCTCTCTTAAATGACAAAAATAGGATTTTTATGGAACCTGAATGATAATTAAAATTCATTAACACAAGAAAAATGGAGTTAAATTAATTCATAGTGATAAATCACATGCATTACATTTTGTGTATTACTTCTAATCTGATGTCCTCTTGCTGGATAATAAGATTCTTTACCAAGCATTGTAGTATTTTTTTCCATACTGATTATTATATATTCAAAAGGATGATTTTCTCAGTTATGGCCTTGACTTTGTCATTCCATTTTTCTAGAAACATGATTCAGTGTAAGGCAATTAACAAAGAGGAAATAATGCTTTTGTTGAACATTTAATTATTTGATAACCAAGTAACCCCTGCTGTATTCCTTTTACTTATTTGGCTGTAATTGAAACATCTTTAGAAACTGAAAGTACAGAATTTATCCCAGAAATATGTACTGAAATCAAATTATGTCCACTCAGTAACTGATCAAAAAAATAGCAAGATAAATTACAAAAGCAAAATTTTATTTTACTTATTATTTTATCTTTAATTTTTCATCTCATCTCCAAATATATGCTTGTATTTCTAAAAAAAAAATATTTCTATTACCTTTTCATTTATTACTTTCTTTAACAAACTAAAATGTTAGAACTTTGATTTTAATATGGAAACATTCAGTAGATGAGTAAACTTGCTTGAAATGCCCAAAGCAGTCTTCATGTTTTCAGAATCATGATCATGTGACATTAGGCAATCTGACAGCAAATAGAACATAATTAAAAGCTTTTTAGTTTTATGGTTGATGAGTTAAAGGTATTTGAAAGAAATTAAATTAGAAAATTGTACAACTTGCTGAAACCAAAACCACTGCAAGCAGAGATGAAGATACACTTAAAAAAATCTTCAGGAAATAACTGTGAAACTGTAGCACTGGAAGCAAAAGAAGTTGTAAGTTATTGTTAGTTTTATTGGTTGGGTTTATGCATCTCTTTGTAGACAGCATTCTGATGTCTCGCTGGTTAATGCAAGCAGTGTCCTAAATATTTGTAGATTTCTTTTTCCTGAAGATGAATATTTGTCAGCCTCTTAAGATATAAGGTGGCAAATATGATAAATAATGAAAAAGATAATTTAGCAATTTCTGAATTACAAGATGGCTCAGATCCCTTTTAGTCAGAAATTCTTAGTACTGAGTATCTGCACTACCTTTCTCCTTATCAGATTTGCAGTTACTATGATTTCATGCTAATATGTCATTTGTAAATGCTGTTAGAAATGCTTTTAGTACAAGGACATATATAAATAATAAAACTTGGAAAAAATATGCTTTTAGTAAGCCCATTCTAAGTTATTTGAGTGAGGAATAATTATAGTAGTTTTAGTTTCAAGAGCCTGCGACTAGATTGCATTTCTTTTTAAATGAAATAAAGTAGCTTTCAGAGACTGTGATTCTGTGCTGTGAGAAATTCTTTATAGGTTGAGTGGGTTAGAAACTGTAGAAAATGTAGGTTGCATCTTGTTGTTGCAGAACTCACATTCACACATAGTGTTGCTTTAAATATTATATGGTGCTTGTCCATCAGAAAAATATATTTAAAGTCTGAATTGGTCATGTTCTGTACAAGCCTTAGTTCTTATGCATGCAGCTCTGACATTGTCTGATTTAGGACAATAGGAATTAATTGATTTCTTTTTTTAATATTTTTAAACTTTGTGAAATTCTATGGTATTATCCACTGGCAGTTAAAAGACAGCTTTTAGTTCATTATTTTATAATCACAAAATGTCCATGTGAAGTGATACAAGTGGTGCTTTGGGTCAAAAGAAGAAACAATGGAAGGTATGAAAGTAAAAACTGAGATTAAGTTCCCTCTACTAATTTACATGAGAACATTTAATTTGCTATTTTAAATAGTGGGAGCTCTAGCCACTTAGAGAAATGCTGCAAAAGTCTCAGTTTTCTGAAGATCACTGATGAAGGGCTTTGAAAGGGTTTTTTATTCTCTCTGTGATGGTTAATTATGTTTTTGTCATATTTTGTGTTATTTTGCCTGATAGTGAGGAGCTCAAATTTAGCCATCTGTACCTACCTGTATCTCTTCTGGAACCATGGTTATCATATTTGCCACTTTGCCACCCTAAGGCAGCTTTAAGCCAGGGATATTCACACCATATTGTGCACATCTATTTCACAGCAAGTCCCTTTAGTACTTCTGCTGATTGATGTCACAGCAGTTTTGTACCTATTAGTGGTTGGCTGTCAACAGCTCAGTAATGACATCTCATATTGCTTTGTGCACTTCCATGTCTAACATTCACAAAGTTTTTGGATTTTGGCTTTTTAGAGGCATCTACCTTTTTTTCTCTCTCTTTTGCTGACAAATGTCCAAATCCCAGTGGGGCACTTAATTTCCTTTTTCTCTGTTATTCATGCCATGTTGTGCAGCTCAGAAATATGCCATTCTCCAGACTTCTAATAATTAGAATGTGACTCTCAACCTAATAATTTTTTTTCCTATAGTTTGATAAATATTGAGTACAAACCACTCCAGAATCTTTGAACTTAAAAACTTCTGTTAGTAGTCTTTAGTTGAATTTTATTTAGTTTATATATGTTTTAAAAGTTGCCAAATTTGCTTGCAAGCTTATAAAAAAATTATAAAATTTATGTAAAATTTATATAAAATGAAAATTTTAACAAAGGCTTTTATTAAGTGATACATTGTGATCTTAGTCACTGTCGGGGTAAGGAACAGAATACATATTAAAATATTCAGCGTGTGCTGAAAGGGCTTTTACAGACCTCTGCATCACATGGATTTGGGACTAAAAACATGAGATTGGACTGACTTACATGCCCAGAGCCTGTTTCCATTTTCTTGCACATTCCTGCACAGCACTGAACTCGAAGAGATTGTTTCCTTCCTTTGGATTATTAAGCTTAAATCATCCATTAAGATCAGCTGGCCTTCCTCTTTAAATATTAATTAATTAATTTGATGGCTTTACTCAAAATGTGAATGTTCTGTTTATTAGAAATTTGGTTTTTTACCCTAGCCTTTTTTATAAGACCATTTTGAAAATACAGAGATTTTAAATCAGGCAGTGGAAGTGTTTGTATAAAATATTATCTTGGTAATCATGGTTTTATTCTTCATGTGGTTTCTAGCAATACAGCTTGCTTGATTTTCTTTCTTTTTCACAGTTTCTGGCAGATATGGAGAACAACGCACTCTTTAGGGATGACATTGAATGTCAAAAACTCATTATGGAAGCAATGAAGTACCATCTGTTGCCAGAGAGACGACCTATGTTGCAAAGCCCTCGCACCAAACCTAGAAAATCTACAGTGGGCGTTTTGTTTGCAGTTGGAGGAATGGATGCAACAAAAGGTATTGGCTTATGTAATGTTTAGCTGATGAACTGTTTTGGTTCTTTTTAAACTAAATGTTTGATAGACTTTTTTACAACCTGTTAAATCTAAAATTCAAGGATTTGGCAGTACACAAGATGAAACATCTAAAGTATATACTGTTTATTAGTTTAAAAAAGCCTATTTATCTTTGAGAATACTGTAAATATTCTGGAATCTAGACTTCTGATTTCAAACTACCATAATAACAGCTGAGTAGTGAAGTGTTTTAATTGAATACAAACTAATCTTTATTTACTTGAGGGGGCAGTAATTTGGAAAATGAAGAAAAGTACTAAGAGGCCACAAAGGTGACCTGCACATGCTTAAAAAAAAAGCCAAATCAACAAAAATATTTTGACTAATTGTTAAATAGTTCTGTCACAACTACTTGGATTATTTTCTCCATAGAAGATTCCATACTTTTTAATGGCAATTAGAAGGGATCTGGTAAGTTAGGAAAGTTACAGCAGAGAAAGTGCATTCTTTGATTTGTTTTAAAGCTGTTTCTCAGTAGTTTACGTCACATACCATCAGCTTTTTTGTCTAATATTACAAAACAGTTGATTTCAATATATGATTGCATTCCACATGGTTAGTTTATATCCATAATATTTCTATTTCTAAAGGCTTGATTCTGCAAAGCTGTTACAAAACCTGTTTTTTGTCTTGGAAAGCACCAAGAAAGTTGTCCTTTGTAATGGTGCAGGTAATTGCTGAGGAAGTCAAAAAAGACTACTTGTCTACACAGACTTAAGAATATGCTGCAGGGTATCATGCTTGAGAGATCAGCATATTGCTAAAATGAAAACTATCCTAATACTTCAGAACTTTTTTTTACTGAATATAACTTGCATATATTGTCATTCAGGAGCTACAAGCATTGAAAAATATGAACTTCGTACCAACACATGGACTCCAGTTGCAAACATGAATGGACGAAGATTACAGTTTGGAGTTGCAGTCTTAGATGATAAATTGTTTGTTGTTGGTGGCAGAGATGGACTGAAAACATTGAACACTGTGGAGTGCTACAACCCTAGATCAAAAACTTGGAGTGTAATGCCACCAATGTCCACTCATCGTCACGGTCTTGGTATGTACAGTTCTGTAAAGGCTAACTGCATATTTTTTAAAGGTTACCTGTTTTAGGATTGGTCAAAAAACATTCAGAAATAAAGTTTAGGGGGTGGAAATTTCATTTTATTGCCAACTGCTTATTCAATGTCCTTTCTCCTTTAGATTATATTGAAGATTTGGTAGCATCAGCTACCAAAAGGTTTATTTGGGGTTTTGTTTTCAGTTTTGTGGTGCACGCTGACTGTCACTAAGAAATTCTGATCTTTACTCCTCTTATGCAGAAGCAATTGTTTTTCATATCTCTGTTTTAGGAGTAGCTGTATTGGAAGGTCCCATGTATGCTGTAGGAGGACATGATGGCTGGAGCTACCTGAATACAGTGGAAAGATGGGATCCACAGGCTCGTCAGTGGAACTTCGTAGCTAGTATGTCAACTCCCAGGAGCACCGTTGGTGTAGCAATATTAAATGGAAAGTATGTGAAGGAATTTCTGTTTTCAAATTTAAAATCTCATTCTTTTAATGTAATTAAAGGACCATCCTAAATGACTATTAATAATTTCTCTTGATAGATACCAAATAGTAGTATTAAGAGCCAAGTTTCTTCATTCACAGAAAAGATAACCAAGCTGGGTCAAGCAAGCCTCTCCACAGCATTACAGCTGTATGTCTAGTGTTCTAGCACACTCATCCTCCTAGTGACCAGCAACTGGACTCGCTCCAGTATGGCAAGATCTTTCTTATTCCAAGAACCTGCTGCATTAGAGTATGAAATTTGGCAGAAAATAATCCCCTTTGCATTCCAGCTGGTCCTCAGAGATCAGAGGGGCTGGGTGCAGCTGGGCCTAATTTCTGTTTATAACCAGCTCAGCACTGGTTGCGTTCAATACTTTCACAATCACAGATCCACCAATATTGTGGTTTTTGAAGCTACAGAAATGCAGATTTGGAGCTGCTGCTGCTGCTGAATGCACTTAATGTATCAGCACTACATAAACTAAGGCTAGCCAATGATTAACCAAGCTAAATTAGCAATTCAAGCTAAATTAACAAGTTCAGACTGTTGCTTCACCTTTAATTAAGCTTCGTTTCACCTGGGTATGCACCTACACAGTTGAAGATGCAATTCTTACTAAAGAAGAGCCCCTGCTTTGGGAGTGGAGAGAAGCAAGCCATGTTTTGCTAGGGTGACTACAGGAATACCACAGCAGACAAAAGCCTACTGATTTACTGAGTAGTATTGTGGTTGTGGCAGAATATTTACACTCTGTTGTCCACAAATTTTCACTTCCTGCTTATGTGCATGCATCTCCCTTGAGCTGCTGTCAGGTAAAAAAAGTTCTTCACGCTTTTTTTTTTTTGGAAGCCTAGTCACTGGTAAATTAGTGCTGCTGAAAGGCACCTACAAAGGATTCTGTAAGATCTGGAATAAGTCCAAGAATGAGTGGAAATGCTCACTGCCTACAGGAAGGAGGGAGGAACTTAAACGACCAGCAAGCAGAGTGCCTTGGCTGCCTTGGAACTGCAGTCTCAGATACCTACGTTAGGTCCTAAACTTGCTATATATTCAGCAGAGAGTCCTAGAAGTGATGAAAAGCACCAGAATTAGAGCCTCACATTTCCCTGTTATTATAGAACATTGCCTAGACTCTTAATGGAGGCAACAACTACTGTTGACAACTACTGTCAACTACAGCTGGCAATTGGTAAAATGCATGCAGCATTTCAGATGCAGGAGCAGTAACTTCTGCACTTTTCTGTAATGTCTGTCTGTAACTTGGTACGTGTCAGTGATAGGATCAAAACCTTCATATTGAGGAATTAACATGTCTTTCTCTGTGTCCAGAATGCAAAATCACTGCATAAGTGATCGAAACTCTCTCATGTTTTGATGGAAGGTAAAGTTGGCAGCTTCATAAATGTTATGTTGCATAACAGATTTATTTTAGTCATGAATTTTATGGAACTACAACAGAGTTTTACAGAAACCTTCAGTACATTTCTTACCTTTAACAAACTGTAGTACTAAACAAGAAACTTCTGTGGAATTTTTTTTTAAAGTGTATTCAAATTGTTACTGAGAAGGACTATATCAACCATGTTTATAAGATATTTGTATATACGTCCCTTGGTCAATATATTTAAGAAACTAAACACTAGTATTACCCAAACTATGGACATCTTGAATAGTGCTTCATGATAACTGTTGTAAATTGTTCACACTATCATTATTTACAGTATCTAATGTTTGTTTAATTATTTAACAATTCTTAGGATCTGAAATTATTTGAGGTGGTCACTCACTGGATTTTACTTCTGATGCATTGCTTCCTTTTTAGAATGGCTTCTGTGTTCCTACTTTTCCAAATAATATTGCTGGGCATATCTGCTACTATGCCTAGATTGCTCACAGATTCTGTTCATAAGCTCTTTATGAAATTTGAATATTTTATTTGTTTTAAAGGTTCATCACTGATTGAATCCTCCTAAACCAATTTTTTTTTTCATTCATTTCGGTCAGACCTTGCAAATAATTGAAATCCTTTTTACCAAATGCTAGAAACCTTTATTTTAGGACTAAGCAAATTGGGCCACCTAGTGGGTGTGAGGGATTTAAGGTAGTGCTGTCAGTCATGAACTAAAACCCAGGTCCAGAAAAGCACTTGAATGCCTAAGATGAGGCAGGGTAGAGATGGTGCATGCACAGATCCACTACTGAATTTGTCCTTCTGACCCTGCAAGTCACATATGTAATTTTGAAATTGGAGGTTGGAATATAAAAGCTGTGTAAGATATTCCATTTTCTGTAAATTGTTGTTATGCATTGATCAGTACAATAGGAAAAGATTGGAGCAAAATCTTGCCTGAGATAACAGAGCAGTCTACTTAAAGTTGAAAGTCTTCTTCTAAACTTCCCCTTTTAACAAACTTGGAATCCCTCATGCTTCACTAGAAACTGTCTTATTCAGAAAACATTTATTTTGTTCTTTTTTTGTTGTTGTTTTACTTTGTAGGCTTTATGCAGTTGGTGGTCGAGATGGAAGTTCTTGTCTTAAGTCAGTAGAATGTTTTGATCCTCATACAAACAAATGGACTCTCTGTGCTCAGATGTCAAAAAGAAGAGGTGGTGTAGGTGTAACCACCTGGAATGGGTTCTTGTATGCAATAGGGGGCCACGATGCTCCAGCATCCAACTTAACATCCAGGCTGTCAGACTGCGTAGAAAGGTAATATCCTGATGGAGGCATATCCTGCTATGGGGTTCTAATAGTGCTAGTCTATCTAGTGATTTATGGATAGAGCTTTAAATAGAAATCCAATAAAATAGGTGTGTTATTTTTAGCATGAACAGAGGAAACTTACATATAAAAATATGCTGTGTAGTCATATTATGATTCAAAATGTAACCGGGACAGATTGTTTAAAGCAAATTCTCCTTAAAGCAATGAATCTACATTTTTTTAACAATCTTATTGAATGAATTATGATTGATAACTGAAACAACTTGGAATTTAATGCCTTTAAAAATGGAGCAGATCTTCTTTCACAAGAAGTCTTCAAGACTTCAAGATCTTCAGACAAGAAGTCTGAATCTATTCATATAATAACTTTCAAAGGAGTTACCAGTAAGGTTTTGTGGATCTTTATATATCTAATTCTTTCTCATATCCCCTAATGACACTGGGAAACTGACATGTAATTCAGTCATTCCTAGATTGGTATATCTTTCTGTAAAGTGATTAATGAATGACTGTATCACAAATTGCAGAAGCACATGCGAACCGTAAAATAATTTTAAAAGACAGTAAATAATTCATAATTCACTGTATTAAATCTTCACTGGCATTTGAAGTCTTTCTGTACTATGCTTTAATTCTCTCCCTGCTCCCCCACCAACAGCTGTAAAACTTCTTTCCTGTTACCTCCAACACTTAGAGTAAGTCTTCATTGCCCATATTCTTCTTTTACTAAATTTATTCATGCCAGGACATATATTTTACCCTTAAGCCCCAAAAAAACCCAAACAAACAAAAAAACCTCACAAACCGAAACAACACAACAAAAAAACACGCCACAAAAATCCACCACAAGAGAGCTCTAATTTTCAAACTTCCAGAGTCCTAGTAGACCTGAAAATACAGTGTGGCCCATAGCCCTTAACATATGGAAGTTGCACTGAAAAGACCGCGGAAGGGTTTGCAGATAGGATGCTACTTGTTAGCAAATACCAAATTTTTAGGGTAATACAGAAAATCAGAAACCCAAGAGAAGCAGTAAGTCTGTGTATTTTTCTGCATCAGTATTCTCTGAAACAAAGTTACAGAACTCATTACTTTAATAAATAGGACTCATCTTGTAGTGCATTTTGTCTTTGCTCTTTAAATGAGTTGAAATTGAAGACCATCCAATTAATGGAACTAGTTTCTTTAAAAAATTAAAGATTAAGAAATATTAATTTTAAAAATCAACCTTTTATGACTACACTAAGCTTCTGACTGCAATATGTTGCATCAGAAGTTGCTATTCCCAAATAAATACAATTGCTTATAAAATAATTGGAAAAGTAATTTCTACATGTAGCTTACTAACCACCCTCTTCTATTTGAGTATATGATTCAGGTAGTGTGTTTGTGTTACAGTTTGCTTCCATGCTTTGTGTAATACTTTGAGTAAAGCAAATAAAATTGTTAGAGCTCTTTGTATCTATGCTCTTCATGCAAAAAATTTAAGACTAGTGTCTTTTAACTTGTTCTTAGCAAGTATGATCTTAGTCAAATCATTATTTTCTTTGTACAGTTTTTTAGAGTTCTGCTGTAAGCATCTGCAATCTTAAAAAATATTATCTCTTTCAGATTAAAATATATTCCTTGACATAAGCATAGCATGGAGTCTCCTATGTAGTTCTCAATCTGACTTGTAAAGAGTGTTGATAATGTTCTAGAACCACACCATTTTTTACATTAAACCATCTGCTGTTTACTGTGCTGATACTTCTGATTTTGAAAGTGTTGTAAATTGTCTTAAGGGTTTTCCATTCCCCATATAATTTTCTCAAACCATTTTTGGGGGTCTTATTTTTAAAATTGGTAATCTTAATAATGGTAATTTTAGTACCAAACCAAATTTTACCAGCCTGTGCTTTGACATGCAGTACTTAAAGCAAGCACTTGCTCTACTGTGACACAGCAGCAGAACTGTTTGTGGCATGCTATGTTTAGACATATAAAATGTAGTAAGAACAGCCATATATGTCTGAGTATGAGTATTTGAAAAGCAGCATGAAGTAGATACCTGGCTAGTAGTGACTGTGTTACAAGATGAATAAAGGAACAGTTTCAAAGGAAGGGGAACTGAGGGGGGGAAGTCCTTTGAAATTAACACCCAGATCTGTACTGTCCTGTTTTCTACTACCTTAACAGCATCAATTCCAGTGCATTTTGTTTTGTTGAATTTTGGTAACAGTTTTAGAGCATAACACAAATTATCTTTTAGGTATGATCCCAAAACAGATATGTGGACTGCTGTGGCCTCTATGAGCATTAGCAGAGATGCAGTGGGAGTGTGTCTTCTTGGTGACAAGTTGTACGCTGTTGGAGGATATGATGGTCAAACATATCTTAATACTGTGGAGTCTTATGATCCCCAGACAAATGAATGGACACAGGTATAGTTTCTGATCAGACCATGTACTACTATTAATAAATATTGTTATTTCAAATGTGCCTCCTTTTGCAAGGAATATTCAAATATTCGTTCTCTATAAAGCACTTTCTTACTAGTCTGTTGTCTCTTTTTTCCCTTTGTGTACCATCTTGAGATGACTTATATTAAATAGACATTGTTAATTTCTAATAAACTTCCCTCCTTTCTTTTGCAAGAGTATAGCTATTTTCTTTGACTATCTCAGCTACTTTTAATGAAATGTATTGCCACGTTCCCCAAACTGTCATAAAGGATTCTGTTTACATGACTTCCTGTTCTGAAGATAAATGATAAATGTAGATTAGTTTTAGCTCTAACATTGTCTCTCTAACACAGTGTCTCTCAACATTGATTTTATCAAGGTTTTGGTTATTTTTTCATAAATAATCCCTTCCTGAGGTGAATGCTATGTATGCTGCATGCAGGTTTCAGGAAGACTTTGCCCATTTTATTTTTTGCAGCTTTAAAATAAAAATAATTCTTCAGTTCATGCTCAGAAACCATTACTGTCACTTCAGAGCTTGGCTGCTTTTATATAGCTCCAGGAATGTGTCTCTCTGTGGGAAGAGCACGCACAAGGACATTCCGAGCTGACTGTCCTTTTATATCTAATGCCATTTGAGATACCCTAAAACATCTACATCCACAAAAGGTTGGCAGATACAGCACAGAATCTGTGGGAGACCAAGGCCCTCCTGGCCAGTTGCAGACCAGGATCAATGTCCAAGCTCATCTGTAATAGCATCAGACACCAGTATTTAGGCAACTGAATTTTGAATCACCTCAATATGTTATTCTGGTAATAGCCCAAAATTCTTAATTCAAAAAGAGAAAACTGAACTGCTGTTTATAAAAATCCCTGGAACACAAAAAAACTCAGCTGTCCATTTCCCTCCATTTCATACTGCTGCAAGGTCTTAAAACAGAAGTCATCAAGGAGGATCATCAGATCTTGGGGCATTCACTGGTACTGGTAATGATAACCCATGGCATTGTTAGTCCTGCTAAAGAAAAAAATGTGTACCAGAGGTCAGAAACTGCTTCTCACCAGAGGAGAGAAACTGTGCTTCTCACCATTGCATCTAACTAAATCTCACATGCCTAGGTGGAGACCATCCGTATGTTCCTTTGGATCCTTAGCCTTGACCCTCTATATCTCACTGAATGCCATAATCCCAATATGTAGGATAGTTTCAAGCCCTTCCCGGAGGGATTTGGAAATATTTGTGAACGTTGCTTCTCTCTTGTTATGTCAGCAGTCTGCCACCTCTTCATCTTCACACAACTCGGGAGAAGGCAGTGGAATTTTCTCAGGTGAAGGTTGTCAGAGCTACAGACAGCTCTATAAAAGTCTGTTGTTCCTGGGGAAAAGAAAAGAAATAGGGAAGTTGGCATAAACAGCCTTTTTTGTCTTCAGGATAGTCTCTGTACGTACCACTTGGTGTACTATCCACATACACTGCAATTCTATAAAGATTAAAAGGGGAAGGAAGCAAAGGGGTGTGTTAGAAGCTACTGCCCTCTGTTCAGGTCCAGCAGAATCTCAGCAGAAAAGGGTCTTGTCAGAAGTAAATTCTGTTTGTAATTAAAGAGTAAAGACTGGTAAATTTATTCTGATTTCAAGAACTCTTAGCAGGAGTTTTTTCAAATAATCAAGTAAAAAGGACAGCTTGCCCTTATAATTTTAGGCATTTTCTGTTCCTGAGAAATTCATTATTTTACCACCCTTTACTCAGTTGTCTGTCTGTCTAGCTCAGGTATCCAGTTTGTAGTATAACAAAGGTTTATTTTTCCTGTAACACTGAATAATTGAAATTATCAATAAGAATTGCTTGATGCCCTTAAGGCTTGCTATTGTTTTCAGAGTGCTTCACTCTGTATAGAAAATATCTTTACCTTTTCTTTATGTTTGTATCCAATTTTGGACCAATTTGTAAGTCATGTTAACAGAGCATGGGTGACGTCTTTCTGCTGCAGCCATATAATTAGGGGAAAAAAATACATAGAGCTGACTGCATTTCTCTCACAGATGGTTTGTTTGTTTGTTTACAGGTTGCACCACTGTGCTTAGGAAGAGCTGGAGCATGTGTTGTGACTGTAAAACTCTGAATTATTTTCTCTGGGAAGGTGACATTCTCCTGTGTAGACTCAGAGGATTACTTTTTCCTCAAGCAAACTACGAGTGCACCAGTAAACACCAGGTGCAGGATATCTACCACAGCAAAGTGTTTGGTCTGAAGCTGACCTGATGTTCCTATGGACCAGTATTAAGCACTTTTTAAAAACTTACCTTTGTTATGCATATGTTACAAGAATTCTACTTGTAAGTAAGTCAGCTGCAACCTGCCAGTTGGCAGCAGAGAACTTCTGTTTAGGAAGCGCTAAGAAAATGAATGAACTCACTATAATAATCCAATGTTATGGTTCCAGGGCCTTGATTTCCCCAAATGCAGAGCAATGATGCTATAAATGGATATACTTTGGTATAATTTGGTCTATCTTTGGGTGAAACAAGTTATAGGATTGCACCCCATAGATTTAATTTGCTTGTAATAAATGCAAGTAGCTATCTGAGTGACTACAGGCAGGCTAACAAACCAATGCAAACTATTGTAAATGGCAGGTGTAATGCCTGCCTTGGAAATGAAGTTGTGTATTTGACGAATCTTTTGCACTTTTTATCATCATTCCTAGTTTAGCAAACTTTTTATTTAACCAAAGCCTTATTTTAAATATTGTCTTATGCTAACAGAAACCTGCTATTTAATAATTTCTGATAGATATTTTATACATCCAGTATACTTTTTTGGATTTTCAAAATTGTTATGCAAGATGCATCATACCTTTTCCCCTGCTTTGGTTCTTGTATTTACTTTGCTATTTGTATGAGTTATTGGAAGAATTCTAAAGTGTGATAAACAATTAACCAATTTAAGTTTAATATTTGCACTTTGGAATTTTTGAAGCATTCCATTACATCTAGACTATTTACATTTTTAAATGAGGCTTTGCACTACTATGAGAAGTATAATTTTATAAGATGAAGAAATTGTCTGTCTTTCCTGTAAGGTTATTTAAAAATGTAAAGGGCCCAATCCTGCCAGATGCTCAGCTGCCAGCATTGAAGCATGTTCAGCATCTTACAGGAGAATGATGTGTGCCTCGCAGGACTGTATCAAATGAATTACCTTATTTAAGTTACCTAATTTTTTCAGATACTTTATAATTTGCCTTTCTCGAGCCCTCTGCTGTTACACCGAATTGGTTTGAACGGTCTAAATGTTCTCGAGAGAAGCCTTTTTGTATTTGCTTTTATGTGCCTTGTCCCTTATGTTCATCGAACAGCGCCGCGCGTTAAAAACGGGAAGATGTGAACTCATTGGATGTTTTGGGTTTGTTTTTTTTTAAAAAAAAAAAAAAAGTTTTAAGTGCCCGATACCCAAAGTCCTTTGTATATTTGTAATTTTAAACGTGTGTTTTAACGCTCTCGGCGAACTATTTATTGTTTTAAAAGAAATCGGTGATACTTTGTGATGAAGCTTTGCAGTTGGAATACAGCTGATCTCAAGAGGCTTTGCCGGCGCCTGTGTGCCTTTATTCCCTCGCTTAGAGTCCCCTCTGCGTGCCTGAGGTCTAAAACCCCTCCTTTTCCTCCGAGAACTGCCCGTACCCCGCTCTGGGGCCCGCGGCCTCATGCAGAGCTCCTCCCGATGGGGGCCGGGGCCGGGGCCGGTCCCAGCCCGCTCCCGGCCCACCCTCAGCCCGCTCCGTCTCCGCGGTAACCGCGGCGCCGTGGGCGGGCGGCGCATGCGCGGTGCCGGCGCTGGCAGCCCGCGGTGGCCGCGATGAAGGTGGGTCCGAGCCGCTGCGGAGCGTCGCGGCCTCGGGGGCGGCGGGCGGGCGGCCTGGCCCGCGGAACGGGCGGGCGGTGACGCTTGCGGCCTGTGCAGGGGAGGGGGGAGCGGCGGGAAGGGTCTCCAGCAAGCGGCAGGGGGGCCTGGTGTGCTCGCCTTTGCTCCCGGATTTGTTTACGTTCTCTGGAGAGACTTCGAGTAGAAGGGAGCTTAAAGGTCATTAGTTGCAACGCCTCTGCGGTGAGCAGGGACATCTTCCACGAGCTCAGGTTGCTCAGGACTCCATCCAGCCTGGTCTTGTACTCTTCCACGGATGAGGTGTCCACAACTTCTATGGGAAACCTGTTCCGGTGCCTCTCAGCACCGTCACAGCAAATACTTCTTAATAACGAATCTAAACTACTCTCTCAGTTTGAAGCCATTCCCCCTCGTTCTGTGGCTGCGTGCCCTTGTAATAGTCCCTCTCTGCCTATCTTGTAGGTTTCCTTCGGGTACTGAAGGCCCACAATTAGGTCACGCCAAAGTCTTCACTTCTCTGGGCTGATCAATCCCAGTTCTCTCAGCCTTTCCTCATAGATGGAGAGCTGCTTTATCCCTCAGATCATCTTGGTGGCCCTGCTCTGGACTAAGATTTTCTTAAATTATTTTTTAAAATCAGACGTCGTAGTCAGACGTCATTTGTGAGTGTGGCATGTGGTGGTTGTATTTTTGCCGTTCTTGTGCGCAGAACGCAGATTCAGTGTGAAGAATGCCTCAGTTTACATTGACCCAAAAGAAAGTATAAGACCCTGTGGCAGACTTGAGCAACCCTGACAGCTGATGTTGGTGTTTATCTTATGACATGTAGGGATATAAGTCATGATAGCAAGCTGTGAAACAAACTTGTGGGCTTTATTTTAAACCCAAGTTACAGAAAAATATCTGTGGGTGGTGTGAAAGAAGGACGTTCAGAAATTTTCTCCGTTGGAAGTTAGAATTTCTTTCTGTAGTGTGTTGTTTTGAGATCTTAGCTTTTAATACCCAGCAGTTGAGAGTAACTAAAAGTTTCCTATCTCTAAAAGAGTGAATGTTGAGCCTTCTGTGTTTTACAGACTAGGGATGCCTTCTGGTCCCAGACTTTTCCATTAAATTCAGAGAAATATTAACATTGTGGTCTTTAAACTAGAAGGGGAGAGTCTCATGCAATTTTTTAATTCTTGTAACTAAGAGGCAAAAATAATAGTTTCAACAGATGCACAGTTCTCTATGCAGACACTCAGCAGCAGAAGCTTCAATTTTTTCCACTCAAATTGAAAGAACTTTTATGTGGGATTTTGGTACTTCGGTGTGTTGGAATCACACAGAAGTCATGTTTGATTTTTTGGGGGGGGAGTTTACCTCCACAGTACTTTGTTGCTAACATCTAGGAAGTTGTAGTATTCTTATATCTTATGATCTTAAGATGTGTCATTTCCTACTTTTATTTTTTTTCCCCCAGCAAGTATTCAGTCTGTATGAAAAAGCTTGGTCTGGTTCACCTGTGCAGTTTGCTTGGCAGAAAACTTTGGGAAATTTTCTTGCTGTAACAGGGTAAGATTGCAACTATTTATTGCATTTGTCCATCAAAATTACTGATAAAGAAAGGGAATTATTCTATATATTAATCTTTTTTAGAGGTGATCATGCTGTAAAAATTTATGATCGTCATGGTCAGAAGAGAAATGAAATCAGCCTGCCAGGGTAAGTACTAAGATAGGTTTAAATTATTTTCTTTGTTGTTTTCTTTTAAAATGCTTCTCTTCTGGTGAGATGCTTAGGTAATGCGAGAAATTTCTAGGACTGTATCGTATCTTTGGTGAGCATACCTGGCAGAAAAGACAAATTATGTAATTAAAATGCAAAAAAAAAAGACCTATCTCATTAAGAAGGATCATGATGAGGTTGTGTACAATATATTCTTGCATTTTTCCTACTGTTGATTTTCTAATAGTTTGTTAGCATGGCTTTGCTGAGGAAAGATACTCTTTTGGTTCAGTGCTTCTGTTTACATCAGCAGCATAAATGTACACCATTGGCATTATTGCTTTATGTCAGGATGATACTTCTGAAGTGAATCTTTTTCTTCCGGCTTGTCACACTTTCTTTCACGTTAGGGAGTGGTATGGGAGTTTACAGACTGGATTTTTTCAGATTAAGTTTAAAAACTTGTGTACTTTGGAAGATATGTTGAACTTCTTTAAAGGCAGTCAGACCATAGGAACAGGCTGGATATGAACCAGGGGAAACCTTGCAAGGGAAAAATGGTGAAACATTGGGTCATCATACTGGTTTGCTCATTTATTGGACACCATTAATACCTCATGTAGTTTCATTTGTGTACTGCTCATCTCTTCTTAGCACTTTAACTGTTCTTAGTCATCATGGAAATTTTTGGTTTTATTTCCCACTATGTGATTGATTTTGGTTAAGATAAGCCCCTTAGTCAAGGCAAAATTCCTATGGTCTTTAAGGCTGAAACCTCTAGTCAAGAGTATAACTTTAATTTCCAGATCATCACTTACATAGCCCTGTGTCATTGGTAAAATGAGCCAGAATCATTTGGTTCCCCAAAAAGTCTAGAAATCCAGTTTTTTCAGTTCATGGTAGTTGCCACCTTTCACCAAACCAAGAGATGCAATTCTCATTGTATTTACCAGACTCACTTGTATTTCACCAACCATCACATCTTACTGTTTGTGTTAGGTGTCATTCATAATATGATCTGACTGTGTCTGTCTCTTGCTTGATAATATCCATGGCCCAGCTCTTTTGTGCAGTGTTTTGCTCAATGTATGATAAATGCACATTCTCTCTGGAAAACTGTCCAAAGTCTGGAAAGCTGTGTGGAATCAGAGGTGTATTAACAGAAAAATAATCCCAACTCTGAATAGCCTCTAACAAACCAGAACCTTACAGAGGATTTTCACTGTCTCTTGAAAATCAAGAAGTTTACATACATAAATACTCTAGAACATAGTGTATTTTATGACCTTCCTCTCAGCCCCTGTTATCAATGAGTTTTGAGTAAGAGTGGGGTTGTTATAAAACTAGTTTACAGATAAATCTGCTATCTGTTATGTGTTTGCAGGAGAGGGGAAAGGAAAAATAGGGACTCAGTTGTGTAGTTCTGGCTTTTTTTGTACATTTACAAACACATTTTAACATTCTTAGTGATTTTTTTTCTTCAGCAACTGTGTTGCTATGGACTGGGATAAGGATGGAGATACTTTAGCAGTAATCACAGACAAATCTAGCACCATATTTCTGTGGGATGCAATCACAAACAAAACAAGCCAAGTAGACAGTGGCATGAGGTAAGAAATTTTTTTTAACGTGTATTTAAAGACTTGGACCACTGTGATTTGTTGATGTGGAGGCTATATTTCAAGATCATTGGAGTCCTCATAATATATATACTAATTAAACTAATATGCAGTTCATTGCTAAATTATTTTTTATATGATTTGCTGGTTTTGAGGTATTCATTGTGGATGGGGTTTTGGGGATTACAGGGTGTTTCTTTATTTCTCCTAAGTCTCACACAAACTAAAGGGAGCTTTAAAGGAAGGGAAGTGATATCAGTGGTGCTAAGATTTTTTTTTTTCCTCTTAGTTTAGTATGAGAGATAAAATACTATTCACAAAGTAGACTAGTTTAGGATGGAAGGAGATCTCTAAGGTTCAAAGCCTTACCTTTCTGAATTTGGCCACAGACTTTAAACTCTTCTGGGGTCTGCATAACCATCAAACATTGCGTCAATAGATAAGCTTGGTTTAACAATTAAACTTCTGGGTTGAGTCTATTCCACTAAACTCTTGCATTCTGCATAAACATTCTTCCTGTAGGAAAGAGAGTGGAAACAATTCCGTCCTATGTTTGTTAAGATGTATGTTATACACATATTATATTGTGGGAATGAACAGACCATATTGTACCATTTTCATGTGTGAAGAAATACTATGGGGAGAAAAGTAACCTGCCAGTATGCACACAAAAAAGAACATAGAACTCCTTAACAGAGTGGAGTCTGCAGTTAATTGCAGTTTCTTCATGACCTTTTCTTTCTAATACTGGAGGTAAATTTCTTACTGGAGGCAGTCTTTCTAGAACATTATATATCAATGTAAGTCCCTAAACCTTTTTTGTCATAGTCTTATTGCTTAAGCAGAATAAGCACCAAGACATCAACAGGGTGATAATGAGGCTTTTCTGATATCCTTCCCTTTTTAAAAATAGAAAAGCACCCTTATATGCAAACCAAATATATGGAGGTCTATTGCATGCCTACAATGAAATTTAAAAAGATGGGAGGGTCCATGCTAATTAGAAAATTCTGATTTCTTTTTTTTTGCTTAAAAGGCTCTTTGTTTTTTAACATGATGTATAGTATCTGTATAGCCTTAAATATACATCAAAATAGGCCGTGCTCTATCTGAAACGTCAAGTTAAAACAGATCTTTCTAACTTCTTTATTACATTGACTAGAATCAGACCTACTCACTTTTGAGTTGGCTAAATGCATAGGGTTATTGAAGTACAAAAAAACAATACAAAAAGTGACTGCAAAATTACCAATGATTTCATCAAAGACTCTTGATGTTTGCAGACCCATTTTCATTTGTACAAGTCATGTTACATTACCTCATACAATTTTTTATTACTTTTACTATCTACTGGATACTTAGATAATTCTGATACTGGTAGAGAACATTTGCTTAATTTCAAAGTTCTCCTTGGTCTGTACGACTCATAGAAGTTTAAGACAAATGCAGAATTTCTTATGCAAAATGTTTTAATATGTGAACACATGAAAGGAATCTCTTCTATACAAAGTAAAATTTTTCTTTGCTTTAGGGATGCAATGTCTTTCTTGTTATGGTCTCGAGTTGGAGCTTTACTTGCTGTTGGAACAACAAAGGGAAACTTACTCATATATAACCGTCAGACTTCTCGCAAGATTTCTGTTCTTGGTATGGACTGGTTTGAAACTACTCTGGCACATATAAAAGTGGAATTTTGCTAATATATATAGTTTCCTTTCCAGTTCTCTATATAAATGTGCAGGTAAAAAATGTGTTCATATTCAGTTTGCATCTTCCACTTTGGTGTACTCAGCAGAGTATTTTTAGAGTATACTAAGTGAGATAGATATAGATATATATACAGACAAATACCTAATACTGCCTTACTGCCTCATGGGGGACTTGTGTTACCTTTCTTGCAAAGATTTGTGCAGTTGTTCATTTGCTAAGTTACTCTTTCTTACCTGCTTAGAATACCTCTGGGCATAAAGTCTAAGGATGTAACACAATCCCCAGAAATGTGATGCAGGGAAGTGGAAGAACAGGGGCTGTGCTGTTTCTTATAAAGTCAAAAGACTTCCATCTGAGAGCAGATTTTGTATAAAAGGCTATTGCTCTGACAAGTTGTTTCACATTCTGACAATCTGTGTTTGAGTGGCTGAACAGTGTATATTTCCATCACGGTTTTTTTTTTGTGATTGTGTTTGGTTTGTGCTGTATAGTTTTTTTTCTTTTTCAGGTAAACACACTAAGAGGATTACTTGTGGCTGTTGGAGTATTGAAAACCTCCTTGCTTTAGGTGGTGAAGACAAAATGATTACTATAAGCAATCAGGAAGGGGATACTATAAGACAGGTAGTATTTATAATGCACATTTGATTTTAAGGTGTACATTAATACTCCTGGTTCCCAGGAAAGCTAGGACCTATGGGAGCTTGTGCCTTTTGAATCCCTGTGCTTTCAAGGACAAGGAGCTTTTTTTTTTTTCAGTCTATTTAATAATGTGTCATTAACACACATAGACACACAAACTGAGGTCATGTTTTCTCCAGTGATTTTCTTGATTTTGGTACCAAATGCAGTAGCAATTTTCCCTGTCTGTCCTTATGCAAAATTATACTTACATTATGCAGGTATAATGCAATTATTTAGCATCCATAAGTGCTGCATTAACTGTTGATTTCTCAATTTGCATTTCTTTCTTGCAGACCTCAGTCAGCTCAGATCCCAGTGACATGCAGTTCTCAGTTATGAAGACTGATGAAAGAGTTTCAACCAGGGAAAGCACAGTAAGAAGTCACTACAAAATACTGTAGTTCAAGTGGAAATAATCTAACAAGATAACTCCATGTGATCTGCCTTTTCTTCTGAGGAAATGGAGCTGATTTCTGTAGGAGAAAGTCTTGAATTTGAGATATGTGTTCTGCTGAGCTTACAATTAGATTTGTGAACCACTTGCTCATTCAGAGGAATGTCCTGAAAATCTCTTCCACTGTTGATGAAGATTCAGAATTTAGATCCATGGGATTCTTAAGGATTATTCAAATTCCTAAAATCTCATATTTTAGAGAAGATATAGGGCTTTACTTTAAAGTTACGCCATTCTTGTCATGTTAATTTTTATTTTCATTCATTGGCAGGTAAGCGTAGTGGTTGGCAAGAAGACTCTCTTCCTTTTCAATTTGAATGATCCTGATAACCCAATTGATCTGAAATTTCAGCAGCCTTACGGCAATATTGTAAGGTACAAATGGTGAGCAGAACTTAATTAATTATTCTAGTATTAAGAAGCTGAGTATTTTCCAAGTAATTCTGATAAATGCTGGAAACAAAATCATCTCTCCCTTGCTCAGACTGGATTTTTCTTGGCTTTATTGTAGACTCTTCGGTAATTATATTCCAAACACAAGGTAGTCTACATTTTTAAACTGTTCTATTTGATGACTGAATAGCTGTAAAAACAGCATCTTTCAACAGAATCACTGTTGGTATGCTCAGCTTTAAACTGTATTAAAATACGTATGTATTAAAAGTATATTGCTGTCTTGACAGAAGATTACTGAGGGGTTTATGGGTTTTTTCTGTTTGGATGAGTAACTGATGAAAGAGTTAAGGGTGGAGTTGTGTCCTTCAGCTAGCTTGTTGGTTTGCAAAGCTGTGCAACATTCTCATAGCCTTCTTATTGTGCAATACTGTTGGCAGTGTTCCTATGAAGAAAACATAAGCTAGAAGTTTCAGATCTGTACCAGAAATGTAGCTGTTCTATTTCTGTATCTTTGAATCAATGCAGTTTGTCCTTTAATGCTTGTTCAGTCAATATGGAATGGACATCCCTTTACACTACAGCTCTAAGAAAAACTGAAGCTTTATGCTTCTTAACTTTTGACCATGTGTACCTGGGCTGTTTCCCCTACAGTGATTTTTCTTGCAGTTGAGCTAATGAGATATTTTGAATTCATCTTTACATGCTGTAACTATTTGTGCCTTAGTCTCATTATTTCTACTTGACACTATGAAAAGTAAACAGAATATTCACAAATTTGTTGCTTTGGTATTTCTGCTGCATTTGCAGTGTCCTTAAATACACAGTGACTGGCATTATTGTTTTCACATGGCTTTGATGGACCTGCATAGGCCAGAACCTCAAAATGAAAGTTGCCATCTTCTGGTATGCTTATTTCAATGAAGATACCAGAAATCTTTCTCCTGGCATCACTGCCATGTGTGCAGCTGGCTGAAAATGAAGTGGCATTATAGAATACAGGAGAGAATAAAGATGATTTACAAGGCATCTGGGCACAGACATGGTTCTGTCCTTTAAGGACCTTTGATAGTTTTCCCTTAACCTATTTTATATTGATTCAACATGATATATATAAATTCCCATAATTTGTTTTTCTGTTACTGGGATGTATTGACTGTACCCCAGCAGTCTGGAAGAAAATGCTTTTTGCATATTGCATTAATAGATCTGTTTTCTAAACTGTTGCTTTTTTTTAACAGGTATGGTGATGGCTATATTATGATTGGTTTCTCACAAGGTTGTTTTGTAGTCATTTCTACACACATTCGTGAAATAGGACAAGAAGTCTTTCAAGCTCATAATCATAAGGATCATCTAAGCAGCATTGCTATATCACAATCATTAAACAAAGCTGCATCATGTGGAGACAATTGGTAAGTGGTAGTTTTATATATAAAGAATAGAATTCATCTCCCAGAGCTGGAGCTACTGGGCATTCATGCTATGCTTCTTAAGAATTCAAGGCTCCCTAAGAAGTGAATTTAGAAAAGGTAGGGTGAATTGCACTGTGGAACTGCTGCTCTGCCTAGAGTTAGGAGTAGCTATTATTGACAAAAATCTCTGGAACTGTAATTAATAAAACTAAATGTAAACAAAAATAAATAAACTTTAGTAGATATTATTCCTTTTGCTTCATTCTTTTTCTGTTTTGTTGTTTGGCTACAGAAAAGTACAGATTTCTTTACTGAGATTTATTGATTGAGCATAAACATCTGCTTAACAGCAAGAGAAAAATTAATTTAAATCTTTATGTTTATACCTGATATCCTTCTCTCAGGTGTTTGGTCTTACCTGCAGTCTAGATAAAAGTTGAAAAGTGTGAGCAATTAAGGAAATAAATAATTAAATACACTAGAGTTTTTCCAAAATGTTTTGTGCATATGGTAGAATAGCTCCTTTAGCTCTTCATCTGTTAATCCCTGATTCTGTGATATCTGAATTTTTCAGCAAAAGAGGAATTGTGTCATAGTAGGAGTCAAACTGTTCTCTCTGCCTCAGCTCTGTGTAAGACCAACTTGCACATCAAGAGTGGTATAACTGTGAGCAAAACATGGTGCCACTTCAAGTGTTTGAGCTATTGTACAATAAGGTTTATTTCTTTAAGGAGTGGTTTAACTTGCATTGAGTGACATGACAGCATAAATAGACTTTCACTCTGTCCCTTTTATATGCAGCAGGATTGAAAGTATTCTTTGCATCTGTGTTTCAAGCCCATTACATCAGTAATGTCTTTTAAAACTAAAATGCTATAACAGATCAAAAGGGAACAATAGTCTACTGTTTGCCAACTCTGAATGCTTTCAAATTGGATTTGTGCCTTTTCCTCAAATTTTAGTTCTCTGAGCAATTATTTTTGTACTGTGATACACTATTTACAGTGATGGATAATAATGTGTTGTTTTTTAGGAAATTAAAGACATTTTGCATTTCTGTTCTACTTTTTCCTTCATTAGCTGTCTTGATTGGACTGGATTTCTTCCAGTTAATGATGACTGAGATTTAGGTGGGTGGGAATGACTGACTATTTTTCTTCTAGCGTCAAAATCCATGATTTGACAGATATGAGAGAAATGTATGCCATAATAAACTTGGATGATGAAAACAAAGGTATGTTAACTTTCTCAATGGGGATAGAAATTTTTACAAATAAAGTAAACTGGAATTTTGACAGTGTCTCTGTTCATGGAATGAAAAGTATTGCTGTTAGGAAAACTGTGTAAATATAGAATTTTTCAAAAACTCTTGCTTTCCCAACTTGTATTTATTAGGTGACCTGTAACAAAATGGGAGCGTATTTTACCTATTCAAAGTATAGAGAAGTACAGCTCTCAGAATATTTGATCAGTTAATGTTGTGTGGTTTTGAATCTATATTACAATATATTCAGATTATTACAGTAATATGCTGAACTGGTTTCTGCTTCTTGCCATGATCTTTTTTTTTTTTGCTTTTCAGTGTGTCTTGTACTAACATTGATACTTGATCTGGTTTTGTCCTGATCTACAGGACTTGTGCCTGTGGCTTCCAGAACAGTGTTACAAAACAAAATTTTTTTTAAGTAGTGAGGTTCCACCCTTATCTCCTCATGTAGTGTTTGTAAATGCCTCAGTCATTGTCAAGTAGCTGGTTGCCTCCAGCATTTTTATTTCTAAGAACTTTCCTTTTTTAATTTTTTCTTTTTAAGAAATTCAGGATATTTTCAGAACAACACTTTCCTGACTCTCTTGGAATATTGGTAGTAGTCAGTTGGAGTATGGTTTTTCTAGAAGCATGTTCAGACACTAAGGAGCAAACACCAGTTCTTCTGTGTGTAGTACTTACTGATTTGACAGTAAGGGGAATAAGATTGAATTCTGCTCAGCTACGTTCAGTATTATAGAACACTGAATGTGCTGCCTGAACTGTCAGTGTTGAAAAGAGGAAGAGTGTTGATCAATTTTATAACAGATCTGTAGTCTGGTCTAGTGGAAGGTGGGTTGCATCTAGATGGCCTTTAAGGTCCCTTCCAACTCAAACCATTCTGTGATTCTGTGAAGTCTTCACTGTCAGGAAAAAGCTATGTTAGTAGATTATGTGTTTGATTTGAGTGATTCTAATTGATCTTGGTATTGTATTAGTTGGTTAGCTTTGAGTACATTAGTACATATATTCTAGATATTAATTCCTACCATCTTCACAGTTTAGGGCAAAAAAATTGCTTGTTGGTTATGGTAGTTAAAGAAAGGACTATATTTTTTTACAAAAACTTGTGAATATTTTAGGTGTAGATCAGATGGCTTGGACAGATGATGGACAGCTGTTGGCAGTATCTACACGAAGAGGATCCCTCCATGTTTTCTTGACAAAGCTTCCAATCCTTGGAGATGCTTGCAGTACACGGATTGCATACCTCACTTCTCTTCTTGAAGTCACCATAGCAAATCACGTGGAGAGCGTATGATAACATCTTCCTTTTATACTTCATGTAAATGTAATTAAGTATTAAAAGTGGATGAAAATTGTATTATTTTGTTTTGTTTTCTTACAGGAGCTACCAGTCACAGTCTCTGTTGAAGTAGAGCCCAGTTTTGTCGCTATTGGTGTTTATCATTTGGCTGTAGGAATGAACAATCGGGCTTGGTTTTATGCACTTGGAGAGAATAGTAAGCATAAATTTAGTTCTCTTAAAACTAATTTGTGTTATATTATTAATTCAATGTTTTATTTAGCAGTTCCGGACATACCACGTTGCACAGTAAAAACTTGAATTGCCACATGGTCCTGCTAGGATGGGATAATAATTTTTGCAGGCTGAAGGAGTTATGGCAAGGCATTGTAAATAATAGAAATAAAACTTCTTGTTCGAGTTATTGGTCATGAAATGTAGACTGTTGCTTGTTTTTTTCATATAATCTTGTTAATCAGTGAAGGACTTCAGGTTTTTGAGGCATTATATGTCTGTCCTAAAGTACTGAGTTCATCAAAGTACCTAGGAACTATGATTAGAGAGTTTAAATTTTTAGTTTGGCAGGTCTTCATGTTGTTTGTATGGGATAAGGGAAATTTGGTTATGCTGTGTCCAAATTTTAGATGGCGGATTTCAAACTTTCATGTTTTTCTAAGCATCCCATTTTTTTCAGTGACAGTAAATTAAATAAAACTGTAAAAATACTAGTCAGAGTTGCATAGGAAAAGAGTTTCTCTTTGTGGTTTCTAGCCAGTTCTCTAACTGCTAAGAGGAAAGTCTCTAAGTATGACTTGTCCACTCTCTGCTTAGCTGTGAGATTTTCATATCTGCTTACACTCACCTGCAAATGTAGATAAGTGAAGACCTGTACAAAATAAAAAAACTTTTACCTTATCTTTTCTGTTTGAATCCTTTAGATGTGAAAAAACTTAAAGATGTGGAATACTTGGGGACAGTAGCAAGTATGCACCTTAATTCCGATTATGCTGCTGCTCTCTTTGAGGGTAAAGTCCAGTTACATATGGTAAGAGCTCTCCCAGTTTGGATTGTTGAACTAATGAGTTGATATAAGCTGAACAATTTAATGTAATTTAAAAAATTAAATAAAATGCAATGATCTTCAGTTAATGGAGATAAAAATTAAAAATTCTTCAGAATAGTTTTGCTGGCTAAGTAAATTAAAGAGCTGAGTTTCTGTAGACTTAGAAATACAAACTAGACTAGCACAGGTGAAGAAAAGCATTTTCTTGTCAGCTATTTAACAAGTTTTATTTTAAAGGTCCCTGGTAATATGACAGAAGCAGACGCTGAGTTCTTGAGGGATGCACATGCAATGTTTTGTCATTTAATTTTCTTACAGCTTGATACAAGCAACGCTGTGATACCCTATTGTTAATAGTGGAGTTTTTCAGTTCATTCTGTTCTTTATATTTAGATAGAAAGTGAGGGTTTGAGTGCTCAGGAAGAACGAGAAACTCGACTTTTCCCAGCAGATGATGATAAGTACCAAATTTTGTGCCATGCTTTAACTAGTGACTTCCTCATATATGGTACAGATGTGAGTATTACTTCTTTTAAAATATCTTTTTAGATGGAATATATTTCTGAATTTTTTTTATTACTGCTCATGCTTTTAGCAAAACCAAAGTGCATCTGTGAACTTTAGAGTGGATTATTTTCTATACAAGAACTTTGAGCAAATACAGTCAAAATTGCATCCAGCTTACATTACTGTTGCATTTATATGACGTGCAGGAATGTTAAGTTTTGCTTTTACTAGTGTTTATTGCAAAACATTGCTTTTAATAGCAGAACTTAATTCTATTGTATTAGTGAGAGGGTTGACAATCAAAATGTCTTCCAGATATAAGAAAAATCATAGCCTTGAAAAATTTGAAAATTTGTTGCCTTGAAAATTTGTTGATTTAGGTGTTGATGTAAAAATGTTGACAAAAAGGTACTCATGTATATAAGTGTCATAGCATAAATGAAAGCCTTGCTACTAAAGCCTTTGTCCAAAGACACCTTCCTTTATGTGTTTCAACAAGGATGGGAATTAAGGAGGACATTGAAGAAGGATGTGGACATGCTTACGAATTTTTCTGGAAATTTTTATGTATGAGGGTATTTTCAGTATTGTCTGGCACTGGGAATACAGGGCATGTTTTGCATTGCAGCAGCATGCTCTTTGTAATATCGACTGATGTATTGACCTTCCAGAGGAAAGGCAGAACCTCTGTCTCTGGTTTTAATAACTGGTTTAATAACCTGAGTATGAGTTCTGTAGCAGATGAGGAGGCCTTTCCCACCTCCTCAGTACCTGAACCGATACTGGTAAATTGGAAGTACTAAATTTGCAGCCAGTCAATTTGATGAGCGCAAATTCTACCATTGATGTCAAAAGCCACATTTTTTTTAAAATGCCTTTTAATCACAAATCAGTTTGATTGCTTTTATTCTCTCAGTTAGGTGCCTCTCTTAAGAATGTGTGGTTCTTCCTTGGAAGCAAATTTAAAGCTTTTTTTGAAGATTAGGCTTCTCTCAGCAATGAGACAGACATTTCATTTGTTTAGAGAACTGTACAGTAAACACTTGTCTCTACGAAGCAGAGGGAGATAAATATCAAAACCAACAGTAAACCCCTCAAACCTCCCAAATCCTTTTTTTGTCCCCCAAAAATTTTTCATCTCTTACCTAAAACAGGGCATGAGAATGAAACAAAAAAAACCATCTTGGAAGTACTTTTTTTGAACACTTGGTACTCTAAGATGGACGACACTACAGCCAGATTAATTAACCTGGTTGCTACTTACTTGTAATTATCAACATTTTCTAATATTTCTTGTTAGACTGGAGTTATTCATTATTTCTACATTGAAGACTGGCAATATGTGAATGAATATCGACATCCTGTCAGTGTGAGAAAGGTTTTTCCAGATCCCAATGGAACCAGAATGGCTTTCATAGATGACAAAAGTGATGGCTTTGTCTATTGCCCGGTAAGTTAGTGTGGGATACCAATACAATATATTTACAAGCAGGCTTTTCAACTATATAGTGTTTTTAATAGCAAATGAAGAAGATTTTGTCACTCCAGCATGTATGCTGATAGAGGAAATTGACAAGGAAGCTTGAAGATAATTTAATGGTAATGTAAGAAAATAAAATCTGTCATAGTAGATCAGTACAATTTCATTATCCTGAGTTCCTGATCGGTAATTTTCAACAATTTATCTTTTTGTATATTTAAATACAGATATTTTAGCCAGTTTCACTGCCCCTCTCCATACCTTTTTTTTAAGAATAGTAAATTAAATTTATATAATGTGTATTTGCTCCACTCAGATTTAAATTCTTGTGTTACTCAGAATCACTGCTTATAAGGAAACTTTTTCTATAAACATTTTTCATATTTCTGCACTGTTTAGATTATTTTTTAAATTTTCAATCACAGCTGGGATGAATATTTTGTTTCTTGCTGTAGTCACTTGGTAGTAACTTTACTTTTGCATTATATGTAGGTAAATGATAAAGTTTATGAAATTCCAGACTTCTCACCAACCATTAAAGGAATCCTGTGGGAAAATTGGCCAATGGATAAAGGTGTTTTTGTTGCTTTTGATGATGATAAAGTATACACTTACGTTTTTCATAAGGATACCATTCAAGGTACCATAAGCTCTTTAAAAAGGTTATTTTTAAAGATTATATTATTTTAGTTATTAAGGTAAAATACGTTCTGAATCTTCATTTGTCTTATATAAAATGATTATAGAAATAAATAGTACTACAGAAGAACTGAAGTGCAACTGATGAATAGAAAACTAATTACTTTGCAGGTTTTATTGTAAGGCTTCAAGACATTTTGGTCTCAATTCCATAAGCTTTTTGCTATTGTACTATTTTATCTGGAAGTTGCACATTGTGCTTCAATTGTATTTTGAAGCATTCATGAGAAAAATCTCAGGATCAGGGTGACAAAACTTGCATTCATTGAAAGTGTTAAAGTTGTAAACATAGCCATTTCTATATTTGCAAGAGAGAAGCATTGAAATTTATTTGCAAACATTTGGACAAGGACCTTACTGGTTTAGAAGCTTTGCATTTTGTATATCTACTGGAAGATGTGTGCTTGTATAGTGGCTGCTGAGTGCCAGAATTACAGACCCTGAATTAATGCCCTGCAAATATATATGTTACCAGCTGCTTGCTATACTTTTTATCATGTAGGGATTTTTACAAGACGTCTTTTTTTTCTTCCTGATCTGTTAATCTAGGATCAAGGATTATTTTGGCAGGAGGCACAGAAGTCCCCTATTCCCATAAACCTTTGTTGTTGTATAATGGAGAATTAACTTGTCAGACTCAGAGTGGGAAAACAAACAATATCTATTTAAGTACTCACAGTTTCCTTGGCAATTTGAAAGACTTTGGACCCGATGTGCTGAGACAAATGCTTACTCAGACTCTAATGTTGAAAAGGTACATCTGCATTTTAATTATGTTGTGTAAACTGTTTTCTTCTGTGCTTCTAGTTCAATATAGCATATCCTGGTGATTTTAAAGTGTCCTGCTGAATATTGATAAATCATATCCATAAGTTCACCTAGCTCTCCAGGCAGACCAAGCAAAATAAATGACCCAGTGGTGGTTGGTTGTTTTTTTTTTTTCACTGTCAAGTAAAAGCCTAAAGTAATTTTTTCAAGACTTATTTGGGGTTTTGTGACAGTGGTTCCTCTGAAACTGGCTCAAGATGTTTCTGTTGTACTTTCCTCCCACTGTAATGAAGCAATGCAAAATCAATGTGATGGAAAGAGTGCCAGAGTAGGGAAAGCAGATGGTTTCCTGAAAAACTATGGTAGAAACAGGAGAGATAGAAATGTAAGGTGTTCATTTGTATTTTTCCTTTCTTCCTGATACATCTCTCTCCCCATGGCTTAGAGGTAAATGTTTCTTATGTTTTCTCTAACAGAGAGAAAAGAATGTTGAGAGGGAGTTTTGAGTATGAGTAATACCTAAAATTAAAGTAGTTGTAAATGTGTTTTACCTTCTGTAGGTTTTCTGAAGCATGGGAGGTTTGCAGACTTCTGAATGACCAGTCTTGTTGGAGTGAGCTGGCCAAAGCTTGCTTACATCATATGGAGGTGGATTTTGCAATACGTGTTTATCGAACATCTGGTAATGCTGGGATGGTGATGTCACTAGAGCAAGTAAAGGTAAAATGTAAAGTCTTACCTAGAAATATGGTAGTTCAATTCCTCTTTAAGAATTGCTGAATTCTTGGGGTTATTTTGGAGGGGGAAGGGGTTTGTTTTGTTCAAACAGAAGTTGAGTTTCTTTCAAGGGATATAAAGTGTCCAAACTACAGACTGCTTCCTTGGTTTTCTCTTGAAGTCTCTACTGGACTGCACACTATTTCTTTCTGCATTTGCTTGAGAACAGCAGAATATATTCATGTCTCAGGCATTGGGAGGCTCTTATTTTCTCTTAGGTTTTTTTGAGAAAATGTTGAAGACTGCTATTAAAAAAAAATCCAAAGCAAAACCAGATTGCATTTGTACATTTAAAAGTGAAATAGTACCTTAAAATCATACTTCCGCAAATCGCTGAGTTTAGACAGTGCTAGTTGTAGTGGCATGTGAGGGCTTTTTTTGGTTTGTAGAATCCAATACACATCATTGTAAAATGTAAGGATATTTTGTTTTACTATTTTGCTTTATTTTTCTTACTAGATTATGTTATTTGTGCAGTATTTATTTTTTTTTGGACTACTTCTGCACCTATTATGTCTTTCTACAGGGAATAGAAGACCACAACCTTTTAGCAGGACATCTTGCAATGTTTACTAGTGATTTTAATCTGGCTCAGGATTTGTATCTGGTGTCCTCCTGTCCTGTTGCTGCTCTTGAGGTATTCATTTAAGATGTGTATATTTTTTGCTGGTTTTGTTTGCCGGTTACTGCTGGAATATTTTACCTTTGGATAATTTTGTCCTTTTATGGTTATGGTATGGAGATGTTCCAGTGCCCTACCACCCTCTGGATGAAGAACCTTTTCCTGAATAATATCCAATGTAAAACTGCCTTGACAGAGCTTCAGGCTGTTCCCTTGGGTCCTGTATCTGGGCACCACAGAGAAGAGAACAGTGTCTGCCCATCCTCCTCATAAGGAAGTTGTAGACTGTGAGGAGGTCTCTCCTCAGTCTCCTCCAGACTGAACAGACCAAGTGACATCAGCTACTCCTCACATGGCTTCCCCTCAAGGCCCTTCACCATCTTTGTCTCCTTCGGACACTTTAACAGATCTAACAGCTTTAGATCGTTTTTACACTGTGGCACCCAAAGCTGCACACAATATTCAAGATGAGGCTGCCCCAGCTCAGGGCAGAGCAGGACAATCCCCTCCCTTGCCTGGCTGGCCATGCTGGGCCTGGTGCCCCCCAGGACACGCTTGGCCCTCCTGGCTGCCAGGGCACTGCTGACTCCTGTTCAGCTTGTCATGGACCAGAACCTCCAGGACCCTTTTCATGGCACTGCTTTCCGGCATCTCATTCCCCAGTCTGTATATCCAGGGTTGCTCTGTCCCAGGTGCAGAGTCCAGCACTTCCCCTTCATACAGTTGGTGAGTGCCCAGTCCTCTAATTTGGCAAGGTTTCTCTGTAGGGCCTCCCTGCCTTTGAGGGAGTCAAGAGTTCCTTCCAATTTAGTATCATCAGCAAACTTATTTATTATACCTTTGTGTCCTGTGTCCAAGTCATTTATGAAGCTGTTGAAGAGCACACAGCCAAGGATGGAGTCCTATGGAACCCCACTAGTGACAGGTCCCCAGTCTGATGTCACCCTATTTACTGCAAACCTGTGCCTGACTTGTGAACCAGTTGCTCACCCATCCCATGATGTGTTTATTCATCTGTGGGCTGCACATTTTACATACTCTTAAAGAGACCGTATTCAAAGCTTTACTGAAATCCAAAAAAGATTACATCAGTTGACTATCCTTGATCAGCTAGGTAGGTTACCTTATAATAAAAAGAAATAAAGTTTGTTAAGCAGGACTTTGCTCTCATGAAGTTGTGCTGGCTGTGACCAATGACTGCGTTGTCCTTCAAGTGTTTTTCAGTAAATCCCAGAATAATCTTTTCCATAATTTTAGCAGGCACTGAAGTGAGACTGACAGGCCTGTCATTTCCATTTGCAGCCTAACAGACCTTCATTCAGGATGAATGTCTCTCAAATTCTCTGAATCTTTCTAGAATATTAACTCAATATTTGTATTTAGAATAATTTACAATTCAGAATAGAAGTCCAAATTTGATATACTTTTCTTTGTTAATAGATGCGAAAAGACTTGCAGCACTGGGACAGAGCACTTCAGCTGGCTAAGCGTCTGGCCCCAGACCAAATCCCTTTCATATCAAAGGAATATGCAGTGCAGCTTGAATTCATGTAAGTTCTCCTGTAAGGCTGTAGTATAAGACTATTAAACCAATATTCATGCTCAATAGAAGAACACAGAATTGAGATATTTCAGATGACTGCATTGCTGAGAGAGGATTCAGTGAGGTCTTCGAGCTATAGTATCAGGAAGAGGAGTTTTGCAAGGAATCTTCCATGCTAGAGACATGTTAGTAAATCATAGTTCCTTTTCACTAATTCTGGTATATGTAGGTTCTTTGCCACTGGCAGGTCCACGTATAATATCATCTACTAAATAAATACTTTGGTGCAGGCAAGTGCTTGGAAAACAGAGAAAGTCCAAATCATTTAACACTTCTTTCATTGGATGAAAGCCATGCCTTTTGCCTGTCTTTGTTTAAATATCTATAAACCTTCATGTTCTTAAATCATTTAAGTAGAGACGTGTCAAATTTCAAGGCTGCAAATCCCTGAAAGAAAGAAGGTATTAACCATTTGGCACGATTTTAAAGTCTGTTTAATAGTTAATTCTTCCCAGATAAAATCTGGTCTGTTTTATACCTAAGAGGAAAAACTTCCCTATTAATAATTAATTTGTAGACAACTCCCTCCCCCGGGCAGTACACCTGGCATTGAGAGAGGACACTTGCTGGTCACAGAAAGGAGGGAATGGACACGGCTGAAGCAATTCAACCATCTGACTTGAGTTCTGAATATATTCCAGGGAAAAAAATTTCCTTTGATTTTGTGTTACAAAAATTCTAAATAATTTCAAAGGTTAGCTTCATTCGTCTTCCAGAAAAATCTGGAATAAACCTGAAACCACAAAGGTGTATTTTGAAGACAGATTCTTTGCATTTCAAGGGAGGTTTATTGGTCTCTGTCCAACAGAACTGAGAGATGGAATTTCCTCTAAGAGTTTGATAAAGTCCATAGGAGGAGCCATGACATTCTGTGTAACTGTCCACCTCTTGCATACGTCACAATCTTCTGTGCAGTCGTTATGTCTAAATCGAGACAGGTACATGCATATTGCATGCATATAGTGGTAGGAAGGTAAACATCTCTTCCTGTTAAAAATATTTGTCTGTATAACTTCCAGTTTTCTTTTAGGGGTGATTATGTTAATGCTTTGGCCCATTATGAGAAGGGAATCACTGGAAACAATAAGGTAATTCCTTTTTAGTAATGATAGCATTGTACTGTCACAATATACATTGAGTTGTCATGTTTCAGACTCATTTGAACTCCAGTTTTTTAATTCAGGTCTAAATTAAATGTTATGAATTCTGTAATATTTCATTAGTTTGTTTCAATGTTTGATTACTGTCACTTTTGTGAAGTGGTATTTTCTAATGTGTAATCTATAGTTATTGCTTTTCATTTGATTGCCGGTACCAGGAACATGATGAAATTTGCCTTGCTGGAGTGGCTCAAATGTCCATTCGAATGGGAGATATCCGTCGAGGGGTAAACCAGGCCATTAAACATCCCAGTAGGTCACTAAAAAGAGACTGTGGAGCTATTCTGGAGAATATGAAGGTACTCAAAAGAGTTAATAAAAGTTGAGGCTGAATATGTGATTTCACTAGGTTAGTAATTCACTGATGGTCTTAATTTAGAAATCATATTTTAATGGTTTCTGATATTGTAGCAATTTTCAGAAGCTGCTCAGCTGTATGAAAAGGGACAATATTATGACAAGGCAGCATCAGTATACATCCGGTGTAAAAACTGGTAAGTACAGGTTTCAGGGAAATGTTACATTTCAGAGGATTTGCTGGGGTACTGTTTGAAAAAAAATAGCACAAATGCCTCATTAACTATGTTTCATTGATTTTATGGTTCCAAATTCAAGCTTAAAGATTCTCTCAGAAAATTATTTTGTTTAATATAGTCTTACTGTAAATGGGAAATATTTTTTTTCCTTTATTTTGGTGTTATTTTAAAGTTTCCTGCAGTTTCAAGTCCTTTGTGGGTGTGTGCACACGCACACACATTAGGAACTGATCAGACAGTTCTTTCATATGAGTGCTCTAAAGATTGGGTTGGAATATTACATGCATTTATTTGAAAAATGAAAATTTTATTCCATCAAAGAATTGTCAATATCATCAAAATGAGCCAGAAGAGCACTTGGTTAAGGGGAGTAGCTTGCATCTAATGATAACCTTGATTTGGGAAGTGGGAGGTACAAGGGAGGTTCAGTTTGAAGAGTGCCCATCTTTTATTCAGAGAGGTGAGGTTTAATGTCAGCCTCTGTTGAGTCTCTCATATTCTTTGTCCCGAAAGGCCCATTAAAGCAGTCTTGAATTTCTAGTTCTTACAAAGTGCAACTTTTTGAAAATATTGAAATTACCTCAAAGCTTATCTGTTATGTTCAGTTTCTTCTATCACACTCCTTTTCAATGTTGATATAAATATGACAGTTTTTCTGGAGAAAATTTGGAACCAGCTGTATTTATTAAGTAGCTTTTATCTTTCTAGGGCAAAGGTTGGTGAACTTCTTCCTCAGGTTTCATCTCCAAAGATTCACCTACAATATGCAAAGGCCAAGGAAGCAGATGGCAGGTACCTTTGAATGCTCTTTTTTAATACAAAACATGTTATTGCTGTTATTGCTATTATTACACATTAGTGTTTTTGTAAAATAAATTAAAACACAAACTGAAACTTTTGCATGATTTTGTCTTGTGAGAATGGATTCTAAAATACGTAAGCTTAAGTATACACTTAGTGCATTGAAGATTGGAAACGTAATCTAAGGACATTCATCTGGTATCAAAGATGTGTTTCTGATTAATTGTTTTTCTGTCTAAACATTAATATCTTTCTAACAAAAATCATCAAAGGTTTTAAAGTCATTCAGCTTAGCAGAGTATTCAAGTTAAGTTTGTTTCTAGCTCCTTATCTGTGATTTTAAAGGTCAGTCAAAGGGAGAATAATCATGAAAAAAATTTTTTGAGTCTAGAATCAAATTACTGGTACACCCTAATGGCTGCACTTGTATAATATTGGGTAATGCAAAGTTCTTAGCTGAAGTGAAAGCTGCAGATAGATTATATCTAATCACAGAATGTACTTCTTCCTAGTCCTTACCTGTAAGCAAACATGCTTCAGAATAATGTTACTTTAAAATACAAAACAGCACCAGAGTTTAATGTTTACATTGATAAGACTAGAAAATAATGTTTGTGTCAATTGCATAGTGAGACAATGAGAAATTTCTTGATCTTGTCTTCAGAACAGAAAAGAGGTGTTATTTTTAAAATTGTACACCTAGATATCACATTTGGTTTTTATTGTTCTCTTGCTCCCAAGGAATTTCATATGGAAGAGATGAACATGGCAAAAGAGATGCTGTCAGAGTAGGTCAAAAATAGTATTGTGGTAGGCATTTTTCTGTTGCCTCTGCTTTTCATTCTCCTAAGAGAAAATGAAACCAAAAAGAACACAGTAAATGCAGAGCAATGCATGATTACATGCAAACTGAAAGGAAGTTGCCACAAAGTAATCTGACAGAAATAAAATACTTTGTTTCCTTCACACCATATTATATAGAATTATTTGCAAAGTTAAAACAACTGATGTGGAACCATTATTTTGCAGGTACACAGAAGCTGTGATAGCTTATGAACATGCAAAACAATGGGATAGTGTAATTCGAGTATATTTGGATCACCTAAATAATCCTGAAAAGGCTGTTAATATTGTGAGAGAAACACAGTCTCTTGAAGGAGCAAAGATGGTGGCCAGGTAACAATCATGTTATGCAGATTAAAAAGAAGTCTATATCTCTTGGGAGTTTATGAGGCTTGCTAACATAGTAGACTCTGGTTATTGGTACTTGGCTAGTAACTGTATAATTCAGTTAATTGATTTGAGTTCTCTAAGATTTGGACAACTAAACAGGTACTGATTTTTTTGTTGTTGACTTTCTGATTAAAATTATATTAATCTGAAGTAATAAGTTTAGACAATAATAAAAAATTGCAATGCTGTATTATTTTTACTAAGTTAATTTTAGGATCCCAGTTAAAACGATCAAGATATAATATAGATTACAAGTGTGTCATATTTGTATGTATGTTATGTACTATATTCCTAAAACATTTGGTGTATTAATTCAGCTAATTGGTACTAAGGTATTAACTTCTCATTCTGATTAGATTCTTTCTGCAGCTTGGTGACTATGGTTCTGCTATTCAGTTCCTGGTTTTGTCCAAATGTAATAATGAAGCTTTCACATTGGCTCAACAACACGACAAGATGGAGATTTATGCTGATATCATCAGTGAGTATTCCAGGCTCATAGTTTGCTTACATTATATTTTGCTGTTCTTTTAGTTGATTTTAACCAGTTTGAAATCATTAGACAATGGGTGTTAAGTTCTGTTTCACATTTTCAGATTTGGCAACAATGTGTGTACTTCAGGCTGACAAGCCAGACTTTGCTTTCAGCTTTGCTATCACCTTGGTTTTCAAATTTTGCCTGTTCTACAGGCTTTTTGTTTATCCATAGAGATAAAACATTTATCTAGACTATTTTCATGTGCCTGTTGATAGTCCCTTTGCTTTTCTTTGACCTTGATACAAAACAGAGCATTTCACTGGTACTGTTCTTGATTTTTGTTCCCTTTTCCTTTTCTCTTGGTTCCAGCTCTTTTCTTACATGTCACTTTTTTTTTGCTTTTCTACTCTTTAAGACCCTTTCTGGCCTCCTCTTGTCTCAGTGAGAGACAGAAAGGAGACCTTGCTGAGAAGCTGACTTTTATCTTAGTCCATCAAGCCAGTCAAGAGTCCACCTTGTCAATTTGTGCCAAATTTTATAGTTTCTGTTTGTGTGAGGCACCTTTGAAGAGTGCCTTATCGGCTCCACATATATATCTTCCAATTCTCATATTTTCAATTAATCTCTTTGTTTAGACATTGATTTCTTATTATGAAGGTTATAAAAACTTGGCAACAGTTAGCTTGGAGATGTATGGTTGCAGATGATTGTCAGGGTGGCCACAATTGTTCTACAGTTCCTTATGTTTTCTTGCTTCTATCCAAAACAGGATGTTTCAAACTGTAATCTAAGTGGGTAGAAAAGGAGTTTAAAACTAACTTTGGAGTAGTGGCTGTCTTTGTTTTACATGTGTACAGCAGAATGGAGTCTTGGTTAGAAGACTTAACTAGTACTCTTTTGCTACCACATGGTTGCATTGGCCCTGGTAGCCGTGCTTTATACAAGTATGCTTCCGTATTCTGAAACTGTGAAAGCAATTCAGGTGATGATCTCATAATCACTTGCCCTACTTTATTGTTGCCAAGACATGATGAAAATATTCATTATCAGATAATAGCAATGCATTTCATTATGATTGTTTAGAAGATAATGCAGTGACAGGATGTGGGGGGACAGTTTTAAACTAAAGGAGGGTAGATTTAGATTAGGTATTAGGAAAAATTTCTTTACTGTGAGGGTGATGAGGTGCTGGGAAAGGTTGCCCGGAGAAGTTTTGGATGTCCCATCCCTAGAAGGGTACCAAGGCCAGGTTGGATGGAGCTCTGAGCAAGATGGTTTAGTGAAAGGTGTCCCTGCCCATGGAAGGGGGCTTGGAACTAGATGATCTTTAAAATCCCATGAAACCCAAATCATTCCATTATTCCATGATTTTGTGAAAAGCAGAAATCCCACTATGGTGTAAAACATGTGGAAACAATTTTTTCACTATGTTATTATCCTAATGTCTGACATCTAATCTGATTAAATGGCAAAAAAAGTGTAAGACATAATTTGAATCTGTCTGGCTTTGGTTTTCTTTGAACGTCAGTAGAAAAACAAAGTAGAATAGGAATATATTCCTTTGGTAAGGTCTTTATCTTACTTAATACAAATACCCTGCTACCACTCAGATCTGTCTGTTGCAGGTTCTGAAAGTACTACCAACGAAGATTATCAGAGCATTGCACTATATTTTGAAGCAGAAAAGAAACATTTTCAGGCGGGGAAATTTTTCTTGCTGTGTGGTCAATATGGACGGGTCAGTACTTAAGTACTTAAGCCAGTGAAAGCTTAATGTTTATAGAAACTGTTAAAAATTCAGTCTTCAGGAAAGTTCAGATTAGATTTTAAGTGCCTTAACTGATGACATACTGATATTTTTTTTAAAAGGGTAAAAAAATGTAAGCAATTTATTTACAGTTACCTAGACTGTGTTCTGTGAATGATACATTGCCATGCACATAAATTTTTCATAGCAGTAGAAGCTTGAGATGAATCAATGATACACTATTGGCAATGAATCTGTGAATGTCATGATCTGCAGCAGCAGTTTATTTACATTTAATTGGCTTGACCAGTGGAGACTTGGTTACAGAGTAACCAAGTAATTCACTTAATTGCTGTAGCATGCCCTAACTGAAAGCCTTTTTTAAAAAAGGAAAATATGTTGATTGACACAATTTTCATCAGTTACAAGTCTGTGAACTGATGCTTATTAAATGTTTGACTGTTGCATACTTAAAACATAACAAAATATTGTGACTGATTTTTTGCAAATTATTACCATTGTAGATAACAGCTCCTTCAACTGTGGCGTGGGGGGCTCCATGACATTCAAAACATTATGGCATTAATCAAACTGTGACATTAATTACATTAGTCATTGATTTGTTCTCATCATATTGTTGTGAATATCTTTCACAGTTAGTGAAGTTGTACACCAGAATTTGGCAAAGTTTCAGTTGTTTCTTGCATGAGTATCTGTAAGAGAAGCTGCTACCTCTATCGTTGAGATAACCATTCAGTGTGCCACCTGTCTTATCAAAATGCAGAGAGAGAGAACTTGATAAAAATTAGAAAAAATTAGTTTTGTGTGTCTCAATTTTAACTTTTTTTCTGTGTCATCTTAGGCATTAAGACACTTCCTGCAAAGTCCAAGCACAGAAGATAACTTGGCTATGGAAATGGCAATTGAAACAGTAAGGAACTTTGATAAAACAAAAAATTCTTCATCTTCTTAAAATGTTTACCTTCAATATTGTGACATTTTCCCAGCATCACTTGAGTGTGTTTCAACCGATTGCAAATAGAAGGAAAACTATATTAGTAAAGCTGACAGCTAAACATGTCTAAAAATCCCAACTTAACACATTAGAAAATTAATATGAACAGCATATCAAAGCTGCATGTCAAAGAATCATCTGGTTTGAACATACAGAACTATAAAAATCATGTTCTAATTCTGTCTAGGTTCAGTGCTGTATGGAAAGACTCCTTCTGAGTAAGTTATTTTTTAATAACTTTAATAACTTCTTTCATATCATAATTTCTTGTGTCTTTTTTTAATAGGTGGGACGGGCAAAAGATGAAGCCCTAACAAATCAGCTGATTGACTATCTTATGGGAGAGGGGGATGGCATGCCCCAGGTATTGTATTTTTATCACTGCTATTGTGTCACATTTCTGTGCTACAAGATATTTTGAGCTTACTTTGTCCTAAAATTCTTAGTAGGCACAGACTATGCTTCAGCTTTCATTAAGGAGCAAGACTTGTGTGGTCATTTCATGAGTCATTCACCCAGTAACTCCTGATTCAGATTCAGAAATATAAGGAAGGAAGCAACCATCTTAGGTATAATAATCTTTCTTCAGTCATCCTTATGAAAGCAGATAGTTGGACAGAGGATGTCCAAATTAATGCTCGTAATGAGCATAATAGATAAAACTTAGCTGTTGGTTGTTGCCAGTTTGCCAGCTGGCTGTTGCCTTTCCCAGATGGACAGTCAGCATGTGAATGTCTGGAGACAAGCTACAGCACTGACCTCTTCATGCAGGAGCAGAGTTGGTCTGACTTTTGCAGTGGAAGAAAGTAAGGTACAAAGTAGGAGATGCAGATCAAAAGTTGACCAGGCTACAATAGTTCTTGAGTTCAAAATCAGTCTAAGGCATAAAATGTTGAGGACATATTTTCAAAATTAGCAACTCCTTTTTGATTTCTGAATGGCTTTGATGATAAGAGAGCTTGTTGTACATTCAGTTGTACTTGAGTTTGAGTTCATGGAACTAAGTGGCTGAACTACTTGAAATTTTACTGCCCATTACAGCAGACCTGGAATGTGAGCTAAGTGGTGAAAGCCAGACTCAGGTGAGGGTGTTGCAGTCTGCAGTCAATTGCTTGGTCAAGGAATTTAGGATCTTATACAAAGTCATGGTAAATACAGTCAGGTGCAATATGATAGACATGGAAGAATAAATTATGCCTTGTTGAGGGCAATAAGGTTTGGTAATTATGGAGATGACAGGCTCAGTGCAGCAAGTTGATTTCACCCCTAATATTACAGCTGTGGTTTGCAATTCTGTTGCAAAATTGGAAATTGGAAACTCTGTCTCTTTTCTCTCTGTATGGATTAAGGGTTAGAGATTTTAGACTTTTTAGAGACACTGGGCATTTGATGGCCAAGCAAACTTGCTTTTGTGAAAGGTAAAAAAAAGAAGAACTAAACCAAACCTCTATCTCTCTATTATTTACCTCTTTACCTCTAATATGAAATGTGAACTTCAATAAAATTATGAGAGAAGCAGAACAAAGCAAAACAAACAGTATTCAACTGCAAGAACCAAAGGGAATTAAGCTGTTGGAGGCACTGAATGAAAAATCTATGCAGTATCAGTGTAAGCAAGACTAATCTCATTTCTGCTGGAAGTTGAGTGGAGAGAAACTGTAGCATCCAGTCTCTTTTCTCGGAGCAGCAGTCTAGCTGCCTCATTCAAAGTCCATGAGACTGAGTAAGGGAAGTGAACTACAGTATGATCTCCATGGTGAAGAGGTTCTACAGATTTCAGAAAAGACACAGAAAATTTTTGAATGCCATTACTGCTCTATTAAACACTGTTTTGAACTTCAGTGTAGGGATTTGTTTTCCTTATTTAAAAGCTCTCTCTTCCGAATGCTTTAATCCAATCTACCACAGTCTCTTTCAGTGAGTAACAAAAATTTACTTTATCAAATCATACATATTTGCTTTAAAAACTACTTTAAAAACAATAATTATCTTCATTATGCTATGGAGACTGTTCGTGAACTTACCAAGTAATATATTATTGTTTTTAGAAAATAGAAGCTTCTATGTTGTGGCATTTTTGTAAAGCTGAAAGTAAGAGTGAATTTAATAGTTGCCATGCAGCAGAAACTTGCTCATCTTTTCAAGCATTGATCTTCAAACCAGATCATAACTGACAGCAGGCTGATTGCTTAAAATCTTTCACACCCAACAGCTGTGTGGCATTTTAGTGAAGTGACATATTATCAAAATTATTATGCTTACCAAAATTTTGCTGGACTATTGTCTGACTAATTATGAACTATTTCTTAAATGTTGTGATTATGTCAACTATTGTGTTTGTTAACTTCAGCATATAAAGATTCTTAATTTTTCATGTGTGCTCTTTCAGGGAACGTTAACTAGCAAGGTTCTGCTGTTTTCTGTGTGCGTATTTTCAGAGTACACACATTTTAAAAAGAAAAATTAAACTAAAAATATGAATATCTAACATTAAATCAGATTGCAATAATAAATTTTCCAAAGACCTTAGGAAATGTATTGTATTAGAAAATACTTTCCAGCATTTTCTGCTTTTTAACTTACTGACTAAAGGTAGAAGTATAAAAGTAAAACATGGGACTAATTTTTCTTGAATTACTTTCACTTTTTCTTTTTTTTTTTTTTTTTTCTTTTTTTTCCTTTTGGGGGAGGGGGGTAAATATTTAAAATGTATTATTTAAGTCAGATATAATTAGGAACATGGCAAATACCATATAAGACCACTTGTCTATGCTGGGACAGGATCCTTTCCTACTGTAGCAGGAGAGAGGGGAGAAGCAGCCTGGATGGGGAAGTAGTGCTGCTTTCTGCTAATCATCAGTGGAATGGCCATCTGTGGCCATTTGGTGATGTCAGAAATTGGGAAGAATTATGTCATAACCTACTATTTTTACTAATTTTTGGATTACCCCACTAAGGGAATAGCGATTTTTGAGGCAGTTTACAGTGGATAAATAATATGTTAATATAAGTAGTTGCAGTTACTTTATTATCCAGATAACTATTTCATTATTCTTAAGTTGCAATTCTTATGATGTTCAACCTTTTGATCTTGTGTTACTTAAAATTCTGCTCCATCGTTAGTTTAACAGTAATTACTTTTGGTCGCTTAATGATTTTCCTCACATTTGAAGTTAAAAAGAAGATTTTATCTTCTCTTTTTTCTTTCCATATGCAATTCTTTCTCTCTTTCTTTTCTTTCTGTGATTTTTTTGAATTTTGTCATTTTTTCTTTGCTTCTCAAGTTCAAGCTAATCTTTGCAGTCATCTTCTCTACAAGGGATTTTTTTTATATCTTTTAATATTTCTGCTCTCTTGAATTTTTGCTTTTTTTTGCTGTCTGAGACTTACATACAAAACCCACACAATATTCCAGAGAATAACACAACATTGATTCATACAATTATTGTTGTAGTAATTTTTATACCATTTTAACAGAGTATACACACTTAAAATGTTTGGATTTACTACTAATATTGTGGAATTGTTTGGTTTGGATTTTTTTGTTGAGCTCTCCATAAAGTTGTCAGTGTCTTTTTTTTTTTTCGTTCTACATTTAAGTTGGAACAATACCATTATATACAATATTTAACTTAACTTAATCTAAATTTACTAGTTGTAAGATTATCACGTACAGGCTTTTACTTTTTATTGACCCCATTTTAGAAATCACTGCTAATGATACAAAATAGTGACACTCACCCAATTTTTTTTCACTTAATATTCCCTTTTCAACATAAGCAAGGACATTTTGTGCTCTTTTTTTCTACTTCTTTAATAGCAATGAGTAGAATATTTTTAATATTTACTTCTATTCTTTCTTTTCTATTCCTATATTTTATTTTGTGTTTTTAGGCATTATCTCTTGAGGATTTTCTCAAAACCAAACCAACTCTGATTTGTTATAAAAGACCAATTCTTCTTTCTCTTGTTGGTATTTTTTTTTATCAGTCTTCTAGAATTTGCATACACTTGCAAAAATAGAACTCATGTTTGTTTTCTATAATATTGCCATCTTGTTTTTTAGTTTTATTTTTTAATTATTTCACTAATTTGCCTCCTGTTAGTTTGCCAGTTTTTTGGTGAACTATTTGCTACATTTGCTATTCTTGAGTTAAATAATTATCAAAAGTACCTGATAATTAAAAATTATAAATTTTAATTTCTTTTAATTTAAATTATACATTTTCTACATCTTATTTGCTGGTTGTCCCCTAATTTTCAAATTTTAGCTGTCTTGGATGTCCACCATCTGGTTCCAGAACAATACATTCATTAGGGGTCAGATTTTGTCATCTGCATCCACACTAAGCAATGTTTGCATCTAGGTCCATAACACAATTTAAGCATTTCTGGCAAGACTTCTATTTCTAAAAGGAGTGCCTGGGTTCTTTTCTGACACCATAAATGCCCACACAGCTGGAGTTGTTTGGTTTCCCTATGTACAGCTCTCCATGTGCATAGTGGTCTGTGGCTTTTTGCGTCTCTCCTGACAGGGCTTGGCCAGCACTTGCCAGGACTCCCTCTGGCCCTCGGCATGGATGTTCTGTGCCTGGGCAACAGCCAAACCCTTCAGGTGATTCTGGCATAGCTGAAGCGTGTTCATACAAAGAGCTCCTGACAAAGCAAGCTTGTCTGCTTTCTTTGGAGAATGTGGTGGTGGGATGAGCAAGTCAAGAAGGGGAATACAGTGCTATGTATTTGGTCAGTATTAATTGCTTTTGTATGATTTCATTCAGGATGCCAAGTACCTGTTCCGCTTGTACATGGCCCTAAAGCAGTACCGAGATGCTGCCAGAACTGCCATAATAATTGCCAGGGAGGAGCAGTGTTCAGGTAAGTCTGTTTTCTCTGATGTGATGGCATCCCTCATGCTACCTCCTCAGGTACCCTACTTAGGGTGCTGTTAATTGTGTAGGATTATACTTAGAGAAGACCTGTATCGGTGCTTCAAAATATATTCAAGTTCAGTTTTGAATCTGAAAGCTGTTGTGGCATGTGCCACAACAAATCCCTGAATGCAAGCTGCACCTTCAGGGTCCAGAGCACACCACCAATAGAACCAACTGGCAAGGACAAAGGAGCAAGAGATGGCTCCTTGTGTGGATATCCGAAAGGGTTTAATGTCTGAAGGGGCCCAGGGCCAAAGACAAGAATGAGCTGAGGGCACAGGATTAAATACAGGGTGAAGGGGTGGAGCTGAGGGTCAGGGTCCAACCAGAACAAGGGAACATGACACAAAGGCATGGCTAGGGACCAGGGAAACCAAGAGGGTAATGGGGGTAGGGCAATGCAGCAAACTGGGGCCAATAGGAATCGGGAAGGGAGAAGATTCGTGGGATTAATCATAAAAGGCAAATGGGTGTGGAACAGGGATTACATCGATTTGGTGAACCAGTAGAACATTGAACCTTGAGAACTATTTACATGTATATGCAAAGGTCCATGGGAGGGACGCCTTTTCTCACTCTAGTAAGAGGGGAGTCTCTTCCCGTTTGCTTTTGCCCCTCCAGGGCTGAGGCATGACAACCCAGGCCCCTAGGCCTCCACAGAAAGTAGGGAGAACCTGTGGACTCTCACCTGTATATTAAATATCGGAGAAAAAGGAAACTTGTGGAAAATATCTGTGTTCTTTATTACATTCAAATATTACATTCAAGTAAACATAGTGATTAAGATAGGCTGTGACTTTACCTTTCTGTTACAAGTCATAGAATTGCCATTTCTACATATGGTTTCTGATTTGGTACTGAACCTTTAGCACCTGACTTTTATCAGTGGAGAATGGGCAGAGGAATTGATTTCTGTTGAAGGACCAGAATTATGCTTACTTTAAGCTTGGTTTTCTTTTGTAATGGGATGCTAAAGTTAGAAACAGAAAAAACTAAGACAGAGGGCCAGAAGCAGAATAGCTGCCACGTTCATTATTTACTCTCCTCTGTAGCCACAGCAACAACCCTACCATAACACTGCTTGCTTTTCATTTCAGTTATGTTAAAGAAAAATCTGTAAAGGAAAAATAGCAGTCTCGGGAATAACCCAGGCAAATTAACATTCATGGGCTCTCCTTGGCTGCTCCTCAGCATTCGGCTATGGAGTGGAAAAACCTCTGAAACCTTTGGCAAGCAAATCTCCCAATCCATCATAGTAGCAAATAATGCATTTGTGCTAATTATATAAGCAGGAAATGCAAAGGCTCAGGGGTTTAAATATTTACTAACTTCTCTGAATCTGAAAACTTGTATCCAATAGTGTGTTTCATATTCACTAGCAGTATAAATGTGTTCTGCAACAGTGTAATAAGAAACACAATGCTTGTCTCATTAAAAGCACCAATGTTTCTTCTGGAAAGGAAGTTTTACATCAGGCCCCTCTTCCTTCAGCAGATGTCAGTGAGCTTGATTGTGAAATTTGCACCAATATAGTTTGTTCTTTCCTTAAAAATCCATCCAGAAATAATACTTAAGTCATACTGTTTGGTATTTTCTTTGGGTATGGCATTTTTAGTGCAGTTTTCCATGAAGCTGATTTTAGGTAATCACATGATTTTAAGACTTTATTATACTGAGAGTCAGTAATACAATATAAAAGAACAATGTTGTTTTCCAGCAACTAATTCTGAAGTGATACTTAGCTGTCTCACATAAATTTCACAGTTTGATTCAATTGTAGTGTATAACAAAATATTACAAATTGCTCTGTAAAAACATCTGCTGATAGAGAAATATAGGGAGGCAAAGGAAAATGTTTGCTGAAATAACTAGAATTTCCTTTAGATGCCTCCAGCTGTGAAGAGTATGACTTTCTCAGCCTCTAATAATGCAAAAAATCCCAAAACAACCAGCAAAACAAAACAAAAAAACCCAAACAACTAATAGACTAATTGCAAAACACTAGTTGATTTCAGCTACATTAATAATTTAATGAAATACTGTGGTTTCGGGACAATCCTCGATAGTAACCTTGAAGCAGTATAACCTAGTGAAGTAACATTCAAATTTTAACTATTCTTTGACAGGTTTTGGATTGGTTTGGTTGCAGAGGCAAGTTATTGCCAAAGCAAATGATCAAGTAAAAGTATGCTAAATTAACATTTAAAAAGTAGCTTTTGAATATCTAACAGTGAAGAACAAAAAAAAAAAATTTAAATGCTCTAAAAACAGTTTCCACTTTTAAAGTTCATTATATTAAATTGCCATCATATATATTTTGCTACTGTTTAGATGACTTCTCCCAGTGTAAACTTTTTTTTAACTTCCTGGCTGATGTTGTTTAGGATACTGTGATAAGCAACTGCTTGTGGCTTTCCAAAGAAATTGTCATGCAATGGTTTTTAATCAAAGGATCAACATCAGCTTCTCTATATGTCATTAGTAAAGATATTGTTATAAAAAATTAAATTTACTGTTAATTGTTGGGTTTTTTTCCTTAAGGAAACTATCGAAATGCACGTGACGTTCTTTTCAGTATGTATTCAGAGTTAAAGACCCAGAAGATTAAAATCTCTTCTGAGATGGCTACAAACCTTATGATTCTACACAGCTATATTTTAGTGAAGGTAAGGAACTGGGAAATTGAATTTATGTGTAAGTTGCACAGTGTCTAATTTATTGTACTGTATGTATGGACGCTCTGTGTACATAAATTGTATTGTCATATAGATTGTATCACAGAACCCAAGTGCATGCTAACAGCACGCTTCAGGAGGACAATCCATAGTTGTCTCTGCCTCTTTGAGTAGCATATTCTTTTTTAAAATACTGAACAATTGAATATTACATATGGCTTCTTGTTTTGCATTCATGCTTATAAAGACTATGTTACTAGTACAACTATTTATTATTATTGTTGTTGTTGTATTTGAGGTTATTATCCATAAGTAGATCACTGCTTTTCTATAAATGAAGTTAAGCAGGGGCTCAATGATTTCTATTAGTTAACCCATGGATGCCCATCAGGATATCCATTCCTACAGCCAGCTTTGGCCTTCCTCTCTCACCAGCAGTGAGGCAAGAGCTGCAGGTGGTGGGCTGAAGGCCAGAAAGACTGGGGAAGAGCCAGGATGAGATCTCTGGTCCATTCTGTAGTACAACTCTGCTCAGTTTAATGAAGCAGCTCCCAGCAAAATGAATGGCAAGAGCAGGCTGCAGGAATTAGTCTTCAATGGCTGCAGTAAATGTGGTTTTTTTGCTGCATTCCAGATTCACGTGAAACGTGGTGATCACATGAAGGGAGCACGGATGCTTATACGTGTAGCCAACAACATCAGCAAGTTCCCATCACGTAAGTGCTGACCGCAGAGGAGCTGTGCTCTGCAGAGCAACTCATTAGTCAGTACTGCACTGCAAGGTTCCTTCTCCCCTGTGCAGAGTGTAACTACAGAGTGTGCTTGCATCTTCCTCTGGGCAGCTCTTCCATACACAGCCTCCAGAGTGGAATCCTCACCAGAACTTTAATCTGTCCTCACATTACTGCAGTACTGAGCAGCCTCAACTGGATTGTGTGTAATGAACTCACTGGTTCTGGGACTTAATCACAAAATTTTAATTGATCTTTTCAAAAAATTATTTTTGGGTACATGAAAAATGTACACTAAAAAGTAGGCTTTAAAGAGTGCAGACCAGATTGGGAGAAATGGTTAGAATTAGAACATTCCTGCTGCCATGCTGAGCTTCAGGAGTGTGGGGCAGTGTGCGGTGAAATCATGTTTTTCTTGTATATGGTTCCAGGAATGGCCCAAATTGTGCAACTGTGTACCATGACAAAGAAGAAAAATAGTCTTTTTTCATCAATACTTTTTTAGTTGTATTAGCTCAAAGGTTTTAAACATTAATACTGGTAAATAAATATTTGACATCATTGTTTCATTCTATTACAGATATTGTGCCAATTTTGACTTCAGCTGTGATTGAGTGTCACCGAGCAGGATTGAAAAACTCAGCCTTCAGTTTTGCTGCTATGTTGATGAGACCTGAGTATCGGAGTAAAATAGATCCAAAATACAAAAAGAAAATTGAAACAATGGTCAGGTGAGTGATGTTAATCAAATCCACAGAACTTCAAGGCTTTATTTGCAATGCTGTTTTTGCTCAAAAAGCCTGTAGACTGCTTTCATATTATTTCACTGTCTTATATTTGAAAGGCTAAGAACCATTTCCCACCCTTCTTTGAGAATTAAAGACTTCCTTTGAAGGTGATAAGCCTTAAATGCAATTGCATTGCTTAAATGCAATGTGCATTTAAAATGCTTCCTAACCAGTGATAGCGTTTTCCATCTTCTCCATGCAGACACATGTGCAGTGACACAGGTTTAGCTGGTTTCTAGTTGAGAATCCACAGCCAAACTGTTGGTTACTACAGCAGCAGCATTGTGTTCTTCCATGATTTAGACAGCTAAATGGCTAAGATAAAAAAGAATTGGAAGGCAAATAAAATATATGAATTCCTGACATTTTCTTCCTTATCTGAAGTTTTGTTTTGATCCTAGTCAATATTTTCTGCCAGAGGAGAAAGCATAGGTAATTGTAGAAGAGTAGGGCACACATATGTAACACTTTTGTCATTTATTCTACTAGTCTCTAACCAAGACTCGAGGACTTGCTGAGCTCATACGAGTGGTTTAGGTATTTCTTTATTAAATACCTAAAGTCTCTAAGCTCTCCATGAGCTTATCCAATCGGTCTGCCCAAAGTCATGTAAATATTTAATGACAGTCGACTCCTACAAGTTCCATTGTATCAGGACTGGTCTGTAGCTACTTTAAGGTGATGCCTCATAGTTTTCCTCTTGGGAAAGATCTACCTTTTCTGTTTCATTTATGATTTTAAACATCTCCATGTTCTATTTATTCCCCTTCTATCAGTTACATATTTTCAGGATTTGAAGAGTCTCAGCTTAATTAGCTTCTTCTATGGATACTGGTTTTTATCATGTTTCTCTGAAACTCTTCTTACAGCCTTTTTGGAGGCAGTTAGAAGCTGTAAAATCCTACCAGAAAGCCAGTTTTTTGTTACTCCCGTTTTTGTAGTCCTGCCAAAAAACTCTGAAACAAAGAAACCACAGCTTTATAGTCAATACATATAGACCCTGCATTTTGAAGTGTTAAAAAGTATTAGGATCTTTTAAAAGGTGGTGGTGCTTCTAATTAAATGGAAGTTGACCTATTTCTGAGTTGACATAATTGTGATGAAAGTTGGGTGACAGTTAAAAGGAAGGAGCTGATAGAATGTAAAATAGCAGCTGGAACTACGCAAGTAGCTCAAAGGAAAGACACTTGCTAAATATCAAATACTTTATAAAACAGCTTTGTTAAGTTCAAACAGCTTGAGGGTTTTAGTCACAGTTGTATCTATGTTTTAGACGTCGGGACACGTCTGAGAGAGAAGAGCCAACAACAGCCTGTCCCTACTGTGCCTTCCAGCTCCCAGAATGTGAACTACTGTGTCCCAGCTGTAAAAACAACCTTCCATACTGCATTGCAACTGTGAGTGTCTGCTGTGCTTTCTGCACTGTGACAGTAAAGGCAAAGCTGCTTTCCCTTCTAAAATAAGTTCATTTGAACGTCTTCACTTTGCTAGTAGATCCAAGCTAGAGATTTTTATGCATTTATGGGTTTTCCTAATCCATTGCCAAATTTCTTTTTGTCTTTGACTGTCATAGCATCCTCATTTGCCACCTACAAGTAGCAGGCACTTGTGAGTGCCCGTAAATTCGGAAAGTCATTCTGGGAGACTTCAGCTTCCAAAGAAGGCAGGTGCAGCACCAGCAATCCCCAGCATATGCATTTGGTGCAGTTGGTGCACGGGAGAACAGGCTGGTGTTGCTGATGCCTTCCCAGCTCAGCCATTTGCCCAGTGGCTCTAGTGCTCAAAGAACTAACAGAAGTCCCCTTTTCCTTTTCCATATACAGGAGCTTGTGGAGTGCACAGCTCTTCTCCCCTAAGCGACCAAGAATTCAAATTTAAAAAAAATAAAAAATTAAAAAAGCAAACTGACCAACTGAAAAAAAAAAAAAAAAAAAAGGACAACAAAACTTCAAAAATCTGATTTGGGGAATTTTAAAGCACATGCAATACTAATGGTTCAGGCAGTGACCTCAGCATTTCTTATACTCATCCTTACTGAAATGAGAAGTTCTAACACTTTTTGTTTCTTTAGAGTGTTCTGAAAAGCTAAGGATGCACACATTCCTGGTGGAATTTACTGTATAGCTACTGTGCAACTAACACAATTTTTACTGGGTTCATGTGAATTGTTGTAATAAAATTGCAGGAGAAAAAAAGAGAACTTACTTGAAACAGGAAACCAGTGTTAGAGTTAACATTCTTTATTAAAACTAAGTAAGTCTCACCAAAAAAATAATATCCATTGTGTGGGGCTCTTTTTGCTCTATTGATTTAGCAGAATAAGATGACAGTTACACTTTGATATCTTCAGGAAAACAAAGGGGTTTAAATATAGCTTTATGAGCCAAACCTAATGTACATGTTAATGTATGTTACAAAATATTTATTTAGGCTCCATCTTGGCCACAGTTTATGTCACAGGTGTTTGTAGACATTAGGACTGTGGCATTTTCAAATATCTAATTTGAGTCAATGTCAAAACAGTCTGCTGTTGCATATTGTATTAGAACATAAATCTCTTGGTACAGTTCAAGGTGCTGCTGTGTTTTTATAGTATTGAAAAGGTACATACAAATTCCTTCTATCGAAAGTAAACTAGTAAACTGTAGCAAAAAAGAGAAAATGTAAAGAGGCAAAGACCAGGCAGGCTCATAAAACCGAATGCTGAATGTGACCTACTCAGCTCAGGTGCTGTGGCGTTGGGGGAATTTTTAGTATGTGATAAACAACACCAAAAACGCCAGCAGATTTAGGTGCAGCTCTGGATACAGATCTACAGCCAACATTCTAGGATTGCCAAACTAAAAGAATTTTAAATACTGTAATTCAGTATATTCTTAGATTTCCATTTTCAAAAGAGGAATGCAAATTATAACACTGCATCTCTGAGAGCTCCTTTTCTATTTACAGAATTTACACAGTAATCAAACTACAGTAACACATGCATGGGGCTTTTAATTCAAGATCTTAGAACTCCTGTGGTGAGACTTTTTCATAACAGGTCCAAAAGTAAATGCACTCTGTAGCCAGGTAGCACTTGCCCCTTTGTTACCTGCAGTTTTTGTGTGCAGGGTCGGCACATGGTATGTGATGACTGGACAGTTTGCCCACATTGTGACTTTCCTGCCCTCTACTCAGAATTCAAAAGGTAAATTGAGATTTTTTTCTTTTTCCTATTGCAGTATTCTGATGTTTGTTCATATTTCAGCAGCTAATGGATCATTTGGTACTAAAAACACGCTACAGCTGGGCTGGGTGAAAGAGGAATTACCCTTACTTGGAAGTTGCACCTAAGACACAAACATTGCTTCAAGGTTGACCAAAACAATAGGATTGATAAAGAATTGGTGATCACCCCCAGTGATGCAGGGCTCCAACAGGAACAGTAATGAAGATGGTTGGTGAGCTTGTGTAAGTTCTCAGCTCTGCCCAAGAAGGCCTGATATGGAGGCAGAAACACCAGCAATCACCAAAACAAACAAAATGCGCACAAAGTTGGGTACAGACTAACACAGCAAAAACATCTTGTCCCTCATAATCACATGTGACAACAGGATGGGATAGCTCTGTTCCAATGTCAGAATCTCTGACGCTAAAACCTCCTTTGTTATACATTTAAATGCTGCAAACAGCAGCCTTCCTGGTGTGGTGTAGTTCTCAAATGTTGAAAATGTAGACAGAAGCAGCCATTGCTCTGTCCTGCACTTGTTACATAGCACTGGTCAGAATCCTGCTCTAGGCTTTGTGCCTCAGGCCCAACTTCCTTTGAAAAATGTTAGTTTTTAACCAGTTACCCTTCCCTTAAAACAGCATGTTACAGACTGAAAATGTGTGTCCCATGTGTTCTGAACGGATTAACATTGTTGATCTTAAGAAAATAAATGACTGTACAGAGTACCTCAAACTAGAAGATGAGGACCAATAAATTCAGGTATGTCCTCGAGTCTGTACTCTTCACATAACAGGGTTCATTCTACATGCCTCTGGGAGTTTTTCCCAGTAAGGAATCTTAACTTACAGCCTGGGTCAATGCTTCAGATTGCTTGAGACCCAGTTCTATCACATATTTGCCCTCAGGCATGCAAACACCAGTAGGTTTTGCTACTGCAATTAACCTGTTAAATTGGGCTTTAACTCAGATTACCCCTATGACCACATTAAGATCCAGAAGCTGTTCTGGTTTGGAACATGTTCCTGAACAGTAGGTGTGCTTGAGTAGCACCAAGAATGGTTTGAAGATCTCAATATCATCTAAAATTCTCCAGATCTTCCAGCATGGGTTTAAGTATGGGGAGAGAGGGAGAGAAAGCAAGACGGGTACTAAGTGGAAGAAGCAAATCTAAAGTGCATGTTACATGATCTTTCCTATTTAACAGAATTTGTCCAGGATAACAGCAACAAGTATTGGCCTGAAATACTTATACTTCAAAGAACGAGAGCATGCCTCTATACCAAAGACTTGGATCCAGGACTTTGTTGTTTGTTTTTTTTTTTTAAATGGTAACTAAAAATGAGGTAACAGTGTTCCTCAGTGTTAATAAGTTCAGGGCAAATTTGCTATTGCAAATAAGTGAAAACTCACCTGTAGGTCAGAGTAATGCATTAAAATTCTTTTGGGGAAGTTTTAGTTGATTGTATTTTTCCTGATCTGCTATCACAGTGTATTTGAGAATATAATTAACCACCTCTGTTTATTTCCAGGTTTGTGTTGGCTGGCAAAGCAGCAAGGAAAGCTCTATCCCTACTTCACACATCTCTTCCCCAGAAAGGCCTAATAACAGCCATGTCACTTCTATTTTGTGATATCTGTAACTATTTAGCTTTTGATAAATTTTGTACTTTAGTTTATTACTATAATAAAGCTGATAATTACTACAAACAAAATCTGCATTTTATCTGCACCTAAGACAGAACACAGGGCCATCTTTAGAATGTGAGCGGCAGGAAGAAAACCACCTCCCTACCGTTCTCTTCTTCATTATCAGTTCTGAACTGTTTTGAATATTTTTAATTAAACATTTTTTACTCTTTAAATATTCCTTTCTGGTTTTGATTAAAGATATAACTTGTTCAAGTACAGGCTACTCAAGCTTTGGAAGTAAATCCCTCACTGCTTTTCTGTGTCTCTAACTGAACAAAAGGGAAGTCGTAGGAAAGAAAAATGCCACATCATGTACGTGAAGGAAAGACAAAACTGGAATAAAGGTGGGAGACAGGACACAACACTCTAGGAACTTAACCAAAGCTTTAAAAGAGGCCTGTGAAACATTTTATTGTAGTTTTATATACTGCTTAATTTCTGTAATGTACAAATAGGTCATTTATGTATGGGGTTTTTGCGTCATGTACTATTTACAAGACTTCACCACATAATGTCAGGGGATTTATATATAAAAAAAGAAAAGCAGTGAAGTCCTAGGAAGACTCAGCAGAAATGCCAGGTAACTAAGCATGACATTTTCAGCATGTTCATGCAGCTGGTGTCTGTTGCACAAGGACAGTTATAGCTTGTAACATGTACCATGTCAAGAGTAAGCACAGCAGGGCGTTGCATAAGAGCACAAGAGCTACAGCACCTCTATAAGAGGAACATTTTCAATGCACTGGTTCTACTTCCCCCACAGCAGCACTGCATCTGTTTCATGTTCCCGGCAGAAGTTAGATAAGCAGAGCTGTGTCCAAAGCAAGATTTTATTCTAAATGTCTAGTTTTCTGTTTTCTTTTTCCTTCTTTTTTTGTTGTTTCTTCATTTTTCTCTCTTTTTGGCAGCTTGGAAGACTTCACCTTTTTTTGCTACAAACAGAAATATACAGACAGTTTAAAATCCAGCTGCAACCTGACAAAAGTTTTAAGTCAAAATGTAGTCACTGTTAAGGAAAAAGCCATCTCTTTCCCTCCCCTTTCAGATGTGAAGTTTCTAAATGCCACAGAGAGTACAGACTACAATATTTAGTCTTAAGGGCTGACCACAGTTCCCCATTTGGTGATACCTACAAAGGTATTACTAGAATTGTCATCTGTAGTAACCACAGGCACAGGCCACTGGCACCATCCTCACTGACACTTGAAATATTACTAAATTTTAGAATTGGATGTGGAACTCATAGATTTAGATTGATGTCTCACTTTGGTCCAATATAAGATCATGGATCTAAGTAACTTAGACTTTTACACATTACTACCAGTTAAAAATTTAAAAGTTGAGAGATTATTTAATACCTACTATGACTGTTTTTCTTAATTCATTAAGGTGGTGTTAAAAGTCACAGAAAGATAACTAAAAACAAACAACACTAAAAGCCCCAACACTTCAGTGGGGTGGTTTAATACTTAGGAAATTAAATCACCTTAATCATTGCATCACTGTCAACAGTATCCTGCTCATCCTCATCAGATTGGATCTCTTCCACATTCAAGTCTTCACTCAGATCTAAGGTCGCTGCAGATCCTGACTGCCTTTTAGATGCCTTGACAGAACTAAGTGAATACGGAGTCAGATGTGCCTCTTTGTTGTAGGCACGAGTAAAAGCTGCTTTGACCTGCCAGGGTGGAAGGAAGGAAACTGAGTATCAGTTTAGGAACTGTAGACTGTTAGCTAACCGACTTACTGAGAGATTCCACGTCAACTTTCCTTTGGAAAGATGTGACCAAAGACACATAGAAGACAACACTCTCTCAAAAGGACACAGAAAGCATTTAAGAACTGTATGGTGAAGGCTCATTTTAAACAAGTCCCACATAATCCTCAATAAGTGTGCATCTTCAGATGCTTCTTGCTTCAGCCTGCAATAATTTCAGCACAGTCACACCAGAGCCCCCTTCAGCAGCACTGTACACTTGCCAGACTAAGCAGCATATTCAGACTAGGGGAAACACCTGATGGTAGTGTAGGTTTAGTTACCAGTAGGTTCTTCTCTTTCTGTGAGCACCTGACCTGGATGAGGGAGATCATGGTTCAGACCACATCTGCCTATAAAAAAGTCCATAAGAAAGTCCATAAAAGCAACATGAGCTTAAGCTCACCTTGTACCAGGTGAGGGTCCCAAGCACTGGAATGCAGTAGCTGGACACCAGGGGAGCAGTACACAAAGCACCCAGGCCTGGCAGTTCTGTCTAACAGGACTGGGAAAGATGCAAGCTGCAAGGCAGCCTCTGAATGCAGGGCCTGCTCTGTAACACAGGCAGCCATGTGTCCCTCCTCCTTTGCAGGATGGTAAGAAAGGCAGGGCTGTGCCTGAAGGACACAGATCTTGCAGCCAGAGCTTGCTTGTACAAAGATACCATCTTTCTCTGTCCTTTCTGCGTTCTGCTTCTATATCTAGGACACAACTGACTCCCAGTAATCCTTTACACCAAGAACAGAAAGAGTAAGACTCCTGAGTAAAGCAGAGCCTGATTATCTTTTAGGACTTAGCCCTGAATTTTTAGTGGTGTTTGACAGCTGATTCACAAAGCCTACTATCAATTATGGTTAAACTGGTGCACCAACTTCAACCTTTCCAAAGCATAACCATACCAGAGCAATTATTCCAGGATTGTTTTTTTTAATATACAGAAGAAAACAAATTCACTGGTCAATTTTACCTTGGGATCCAGCTTTGAAAAAGGACTGGGTTTGCCTCCCCACATGCTTATTTCCATGATATTTTCAACATCTTCTTTCATCAAGCAGTAAGAATCCATAAATGTTATAGCTTGTTGTACACCATCTGCTCCAAAGTCTTTCAAGGGCTGGACAAGTGCATCTCTCAAATATGACAAATATTCCATATTTACTGTCCTCTTGCATGTCCGAGTTCTTTGTCAAATTGAAAATAAAGTATTGAGTAAGTAAATCGGTCCAACCAGCATCACTGACTTCTACAGACAAGAACAAATAGGTAAGGAGGCCCTCAGCAAATCAACAACCAGCTTCCTTAAAAGCAAACTACAAGTTGTACTGTGCCCTTCCTTTTGCCATACCTGCATTAGGGAATAGCCAATGCAAGGTATTTGAACACCAAACAGTCTGGGGAAACACATCCCTAACTGAGAAAAAACTTCAGGGGAAAAAAAAAAATGCAAGGTACTTGTGATGATACTGAAAGTGCTTCCCGTTTGACTTGTTCAAATTAAGCACTGAGAAATGTGTCACTAGTAACAGAGGAACACATTCACAGAACACACAAACACATCACTTGTTTGCACCAAGCACAGCAAGGAACTGACAGTAGGTAATGAACTGCACAAGAAAGAACTGTATCAGAGGAATGTCAGTACTACCTGAGACTCATGTGCATTGCCAGTTCTTGAATGATACGATCATGTTTGCCTGTAGATGAAAATTTCCCCAGCCAGCTGGGAAAGACAGGAAACTGGGACATGTAACCCCTCATCAGCTCCCCTGGGAGAACACTTGCATAAATAGCCTGAAAAAGTAACACACATACCAAACTCAAATCACTGAAAGTCTCACAGACACCATGACACACTGCCCTGCACTGTCCCAGGGAACAGGGGTAGTCAACACAGGGCCACAGTGGAAACAGTTTATTTTAAGCGAACTCTCTCAATTGCTTATTTCTGATCAATCCCTATTGGGTTACAGCTTCACCCCTTGTGCCACCCTGTTCATTACCGTGTTCTAAAATATCTGTGAAATTATCTGGGTTTCAAAACAAAAAAAAAAACCCCAACCCCAAAACATAGCCTTTTCTCATGTCCAGTTTAGAGTGCAGTCAGACAAATAGCTGACTTCACACAAAAAAGTGATCTCCAACAGAAAGAGATGGTGAAGGAGACATTTCCAAAGAACACTGCGAATCTACATCAAGTCATCTGTGTTCCTAGGCAATTCAGCTCTTTGGACCTGTACTGGGCAAGGAGGTGAACTAGATAACCTCCAGAGGTGCCTTCCAATTTCACCTACAAAGCATTCTCTGATGCCAGTCATAATCCTTTTAAGCACAAGTCTTGTGAGTGAGCATTAAAAGAAGTACAGTGACCAAGCTTCAGTCCCCTATGCTTTGGGAGAAATCCTGCCCTGGTGAGAGGAAGGATAGAGCAGGCTTGTAACAGCACGAGTGATATCAACCATGTGCTTCTATGCTTTGTGAAAAGTCCAACTTTTCCAAGTTTCAGAAGACTTCATTTCATGTTGCAACATGGGCTCAACAATATGGATATGGGAAACTCTTCTGATCACCAGTGGAACAGAGAATACTACATGAAGTATGAACTATAAAGATCATATAATTATACTGAAACACCAGTTTCCACAGATCCACCTTTTACACTGGACACCTCTTAAAAGAACATAAAATGAGTGTTAAGTGCTCACCTGTGTTGGAAGAAGATTCCAATTCTGCTTGCTACGAATCTGCCTGTCCACTATATCACCATCACATATACTATCAGCTGCTCTACTCAAGAGCACCAAGTGCTTTTTTAAATTACCTCTGGAAAAAAAATGAAGTTGGCTTTGTTACAAATCAGAAATACCCAGATACAAAAGCCTATTTCAGTTTAGTGTTTGGAGTAACTCACCCAGCAGCAGCTGGTTTCACATGCACATAATTCTCCTGGACAAAGAGAGGTGCTAGCGAATAATCATGGAAGAAAAGATCTGATTTGTCTATAAGAGACATACGAGCAGCCTCCTCTCCAGCAGCAAAAACCTTCCGGACAACATCAAAAGGACCCTAAAAAAAATGACATTTCAAGAAGTCAGTGGCTAGAAAGTCAACACAAACAGTAAGACACAGCACAGTATCAACAAAATTAGTGTCCAGGAGTATCCTGATTTATCAGTACAAGCTCCAGATTCAGTATTTCCACCCTAGAACTTTACTAGTTTTAAGAAATGCATTTTATTTTGATATTAAGAGAATTATTTCCTAAATAGAGAACAAAGGATGGGAAGTATGAGCTTCATAATTGCATCTTACATAAGAGACCAGTATATCAAAATATATACTCAGTCCTTGATGTACTACTCTTCAACTATTTGTAGAAAATGTGACAGCTCTTGGCAGCTAGGCTTTATTCAGTGCTTCAGTTCAAAAGATGCTTATAAAACCTAGTGATTATATCAGAACATGACAGTATAAGCCAATCCAGTATTTGACACTTACCAGTTTGATGTCCTTTTTGGCTCTGC